ACCCATCCTGTCTCCCTCTCTGGTCACCTCTCCCTCCCGCTCCAACTTCTTCCTGCTCTGGGGAAAAAGAACTAGTTTCCTAAGGCCTGACTCAAAGGGGCTCAGAGCAAAGGAGCTGATGAGCTAATTTACGCACAATGTCATTGGTCAATGTCTTACCTATTCAGGACATCTACTCAGGACATCCCCGGCAAGTGCGATGCTTAATACAAAGACTTGATTTTTAAAAGTAGACTTTCTCAGAGTAGTTAGGAACTTGCCCAAGGACAAACAGTGTCAGGCTGAGTGAGGTTTTGTACTCATAATGCCTCTTTTCACTTAGCCTGAGCTCCTTTCTCTGGCAGTTATAGCCAAAGGAAATAAAGCAAAACACCAAAAGGAATATTTCAGAGTCTGTGCTGGGCAGTGGTTCTCAGACGTGGGTGAGTGTCAGAATCATCGGGAAAGTTAACAAAGAACCTGAAGGGCCAGACTCCTGGAAGTGAAAACAGGGCTTGGACTTTGGAATTTTTGTCACATTCCTCAAGTGAGTCTGATGCTCATCAAAGTTTGAGAGCCGCTGATGGACAGTAAGAATGATCCTAATTTTGTTGACGGATTAGCCTGTTTTTCAGGCCACCGCCTTTGTTGGGAGGTGTAGTCCCCAGAGTGTTGAAGGAGGCAGCCAAATATTGTAGTTGTTGAATGAATAGGGCAGTGAAAGAACAAACACGTAGCTAAATTAGTTAATATGGAGGGTTCTCAAACTAGAGCCCCACCGAGGCACGTCCTTGCTAGATCCGGAATATAGTTTTGGTCCCATTTTCAAAGTAGCCACATAGCAACGAGCCCAAGTTTCACCCATGTCTGTGAGCTGCCTTGGTGATGAGTTCAGTACAGTGTCCTGTCAGAAAAAGTAAACACACAGATAAATAGCTTTCCTTTATGCCAACAAGAACCATTTTGAAAATATAATTTTAAAAATCCCTTTCCATTCTTAATGGCTTCAAATATTAAACCTAGTAAAATTCAAGTTAAAAACTATTCTCTCCAATTAGTGTTTAACTTTGAGATCATTCCAAGTAATAACCCAAAAAAGCTTTCTTGAAACTTGACAAATGGTTTTAAATTTCATCCCCCAAAATAAATAGCCAAGAAGATAATGAGGGATGAATTTTATCTTTAGAAGATAAAATGTATCAGTGACTATGGTTTAAGCAGTGTGAGGGTAGAGCCAGGATTTACAAAGAGATAAATGGAAAAGAAGAAATACCCACCAAAATAAATGTATTCACAGATAAATATATAATATGATAAGTATGCATTTCAAATTCAAGGTGCAATTATATTTTTAATAAATAACACTGGCATTACAATCCAGAAGCTATTTTTTTAAAGAAAGAAGAAAACAAAATGAAGATGAATCAATGAACCATACTGTTTTTTAAGTAGAAGACGCACCCTGTGGGTGAGCTTGAAAGCTGCTACCACCTTGTTCATCCAGAGAGGAGGTCACATTATGACAGCTCTGGGTTCTGTACCCGAGGGCACTTGGCCCCAGCCGTAGCTAGCACTGCACTTAGTCTGCCGGGCGAAGGCTGGCTAAGCCAATGGGCTGAGGTTACTGGAGCACCTGCTTCCTTATCTGTGAAACTTGAGCAGTAATGGTGCCCACTTCGTGGGTTATCATGAGTATTAAATGCAATCTGTTACCGGGTCCTGGCAGATAGTAACCTCTCACAAAATGCTACCAAGACCCCCAGCTTTCATGCTTTTGCATCCACAGAGTTTGTTCTCAGAAGTTTCACAAGATGCAAGTGGACCCCCCAGATGTTGTATTCAGCACAATAGCAGTGGTTCACCCAGGGGGCTCGTTCATGCAGGCCAGGGGAGGGGTGGGTGCAGGCATGGCAGGGACTCGGCTCCAGGCCCTGGGACAGCGCCAGATGAGCTGGCCTTCCCTGGAGACGAAATTCACTCTTCAATTACAGCGCTTTCCCCCAGACTTCAACCCAAACACGGAGTGCAGCCAAGCCTTCCATTTTAAGGCCATAATTGGCAAGTTTTGTCCTGAAACCCCATCATAACTCTTCTCTGAAATTGCAGTATACTCACCCTCTAAAAATACACAGCTCAGTTTGGTCATGTTGCAAAAATGCTGTTTGTATTGACCATGAACTTAGCAGCATGTGGCGGATGCTTAAGAAAATGAAAGCCCAGCGTCCATCGCCGCCAAGCCAGGTCCTGAGTTCATAAAGATACAGTGCCTGGTTCTGAGGATGGAGCCCACCGTGCCAGGACTGAGTGTGGCATTTACCTTCCTCTTGCTGAGCCTGAATAAAATCTGCTTACGTTATTTGGCAACTTCTCTGAATGAATTTTTTTCTTTTTTTTTAATTAAAAAAAAATAAGTAGTGGCATATTATGGACTCCATGCTTGTGTCTTGCCCACAAATGTATATGTCGAAGCCCCCAGTGGGATGGTACTAGGAGGTGGCACCTTTGGGAGGTGGTTAGGTCATGAGGGTGGAGCCTCAGTGACACGATTAGTGCCCTTCCAAGAAGAGACAGTAGGGGGCTTGCACACTCTCTTTGCTCCGTGCCCTGTGAAGGCAGGAAAGTAGCCGTCTGTAAAACAGAAAGAGGGTCCTCACCAAGAACCCAACCACGCTGACAGCCTGATTCCAAACTTCCAGCCTCCGGCACTGTGAGAAATGCATGTTAGTTATTTAAGCCACCAGTCTGTGATGTTCTGCTATAGCAGCCGGAGGCAGCCAAGGCATGGCAGTAGGTGGTTTTGTTGCTTTATTTACCCTTCTAATTTTAGAGACCCCTACCAGTATGCTGGATGTCAAAGATAGGTTTAAGGTAAAAATTATAAGCTTCTCCATATAGCCAAGAGCATGGTGCTCTCGAAGGCAAAGACCCTTTCACAGCGGGGATGATGATCCAGAAAGGGTGCTTGGCTACCTTGGAAACTCAGCAGGGATGGAAAGAGCCTTGACTTAGAGCCAAGAGGGCTGATTCTGCGCTGGCCTGGTCACTTCCCAGCTCCTTGTTCTTGACAAAGTCATATAACCTCTCTGAATTTCTGACCCTTCATTTGTGGAACAGACATTACAGCCCCTCTCCCACCCCTCATTTGGGTGCTGTGGGAAGCAAATGTGATGATGAAGTAAACACACTTTGTAAACTGTAAAGTGCTATACCTATGCTTGCCATCGTGTTCCTCTAGCATAAGGTTAATGCTCACAGGTATTTATCAAAAGGTTCCACTACTGGCCGGGTACAGTGGCTCACACCTATAATCCTAGAACTCTGGGAGGCCAAGGCGGGAGGATCGCTCAAGGTCTGGAGTTTGAGCCCAGCCTTAGCAAGAGCGAGACCCTGTCTCTACTAAAACAATAGAAAGAAATTAGCTGGACAACTAAAAATATATATATAAAAAAAAATTAGCTGGGCATGGTGACACATGCTTGTAGTCCCAGCTACTTGGGAGACTGAGGCAGAAGGATCGCTTGAGCCCAGGAGTTTGAGGTTGCTGTGAGCTAGACTGATGCCATGGCACTCTAGCCTGGGCAACAGAGCAAGACTCTGTCCTCTCCCCTCAAAAAAGAGGGTACACTACTGTGGTCTTCTGGAAAAAAAAAGGAAAGAGAAAAGCAAGAAAGAAAGAGGGAGAGAGACATTGTCTACATTAATTGTCAACAATGCCCCCGCTAAACATCTCTCTAGGGTGTTCTAGAGTCAGTGCTTCTGCATGGTCATACAAGCCTGTGCTGGGAGAAAACATCTGGTCTCTTTTATCTGTGGACAGAATAATAGACACTGACCACTGTTCAGGATCAGCTCTATCCTTAAAGGGACGCCCAACCTGTCTCTAGACATGGCCTTTGCACCAAATGGGACGAGCTCCAACAGACCTCTGCCCTTTGGCCCAAGCTGTCCTTCTGGCTGCACAGCTGTGTCTCCCTCCGTGGTGTGGAGACAGCCATGTCCTGTGCACAGAACTGGGGAGGCAGACCGGAGAGCAAGCAATGGGAGGGCGTAGGCTCCCTAGGTACGAGCCAGTTCCAGTCTTGTTCCACCACTCAGGAATGGTGCACTCTCAGGCAAGTCATTTAAATCTCTCTGTGTCTCATTTTCTTCATCTTTAAAAAAGGGTGTCTTAGCTGGGGTTTTCTAGGAAACAGACTCGGAGATGGAGATTTGCATGTAGACAGTTTGGTGCAGACTGCTCTTGGGATCGGCACCTGGAAGGAAGTGGGGCAGAGGAAGAAGAACTTTGATGCAAATTAAGCGATGGCCCCACTGATCCCCCCAGTGGGCTCTGAAGCTGGGCTGTCCCTTCAGAGCTGTCCCATCTTGAGGCGAGGGGGCCGAGCCTTTGTCTACCCACACAGGTTTTTGGATGCAAGTCATCACTGGGAAGGGGAGGCAGCTCTGTCTGGCCAAGGGAAATTCCTGGAGAGGGGCTCAGCTGGGAGACACCAGCTGTCAACTTCCCAACAGTTGGGGAAATGAGAGCGTTGGTCTTGCAGGGGGGCCTGGAAAACACACCACAGCATCCACTACAGAGAACAGCGGGCTTGGGAGGATCAAATGATACAGCGTCTGTGAAGACCTAAGCACAGTACCCCATGATAAACCTGACAAGTCTGTTATCGTCATTATTACCTACTATTATTCTAACTATTGCTTTGTAACAACTGCATGGTGATATTTTTCTTACCTTCTTGACTTCTCTGCCATTCTATTGTGAGCTGCTTAATAGAAATAGCCATGCTCTTTGTTTGTTTTGTTTTTAACTTTTGTATTCCTAGGCTTGAGCACAGAGCTTGGCTCATAATTAATAAATAATTGTGGAATAGAAAGACACATAAAGGCACAGGATTGCACAAGAATGAGACCAGGAGGGGTATGCCCCTGAGACTGCCTTTGGGGACACTGGGAGTGCTCTGGGGTCTTCATTATGAACCAGGTAATAACTGTGTGTCACTGTCTCCTGCTTTCTGTCCTAGTGTCTCCGGACTCCTGGCAGGCCCTGGCCCTCTCTTCAGTAGTAATTGATCCATCGATGAGGAACTTCGATGTTCTCCACGTCAGCACTGCTGCCCCCAGCAACTTTTCTGCTGCCCGAGACCTCTGCTTGTTGGGTAAGAAGAGTTTCCACCCCTCAGATAGGGTGGGACAGGGCCTCACACAAGTGCCACTCAAGACTCTGACCTTAGAGAAACATATGAGACCTGAGATAACCTGGGGTGCTTGGCAGGAAGGGATTAACCTGGAGGGGAAGACCTGGGTGGGGTCTCCTCATGCTCCTGCAGGTCAGCCTGTAGTCGAGGTCTCTAAAGGGATAAGCCAGCCAGCAAAGGAGGCCATGAAACCAGGTCGGGGGAAGGTCAGAAGGATTTAGCAAGCTTAGTCTGAGGCAGAAGAGACGCATGAGAGCTCTGTCGGCTGTCTTCAGGTGACAGGTGGGCCATCGTGGGGAGGAGGAAGCGCACTTGTTCTGGCCAGGCTCATGGGACAAAGCTAAGACCTATGAGTAAAACTACAATTTCAAGAGACATTTTTCAATGCAATTTCAAGAACTTTCAAATAGGCAAATCTGTTCACAGGCGTGTAATTCCTCCAGAGAGTTTCCACTCATTGGTGGTATTTAAACAAGAGCTGACCACTTGATAGGAATGTTCTGCAAAGACTTTTAGCTTCTGAAAGAGGCTCAGATCACATAACATTTACACCCGTCCAAGATTATGAACCCTCTGGAATGTCATGAATTCCATGACTCTCTTCCTCTACAAGTTTGGATAATAATATACACGAAGCTATGTTTATCTTACAGATTGGTCCACCATGTCCAAATGTGCAAGTTGTGCACTGCACAACTCTGAGTGGTGCTATTCACAGAGACTGAGCTATGAAAAGGGCCTTTAGGCTGTGCGCAACCTGTCCAATCAAACGTAATAGCACTATTTTCAGAGCTGTTCTTAGTTCTGAATGCCGTGAAATAGTTTAAATTATCTAGTGCAGAACCTGGCATGCATGGGAAAGGGCGTGGTTCCTGGTGGAACATGGTGGGTATGATGCTGGACAGGGAGGCTTTGGGTGGGGCCAGAGGGAGACAAGGCTGAAGAGGAAGGCAGGGGGTGGAGTATGGAGAGCTTTGTCTGGTATGACTTAATCTTTAAGCCTGTGGGGAGCCATGGAGTTATTTTAAGCAGGGAAATAATGAAGGAACATTTATGAATTAAATAAACAAGAAACCTGAATGTTGTGTGAAATACATTGATGGGAGGTTTGGGTTGCCCACTGCCACCATTTTAATACCCATCCTCTGACACAGTGCCTAGAATTTGTAGTAGATACTCAAATAAATGAGTGATTGCATGATGCATGAGTGATGGATGGAAGGATACGTGGATGGATAGATGGACTGATGGATGCGTGATTAGGTGGAAGGGTGGATGATGATGCATGAACGGAAGGATGGATGAATAGATGGTTGTATGTATGGTTGCAAGAGTGAGGTAACATCACTGAGACCCAAGCCTCACTGTTCTTCTTCTCTTCAGAATGTTCCCAACACCAGGCTTGCCTCGTCACCACCCTGCAGACCCAACCAGGGGCTGTAAGGTGTGTATTCTATCCTGATACCCAAAGCTGCACACATAGTCTGCAGGGCCAGCACTGCCAAGTTCTGCTCCATGAAGAGGCCACCCACGTCTACCGGAAGCCAAGTAAGCAAAGTCCTGAGCCTTAGCAGCCACTCCTGGGAAACTGGACATGGGTGGGAGGGACTGTTCCAACATGTGGTGACTGGGTAGGCTGTGGCTTGGTTGGCCAAAGTTGTCCTGGGCTAGCTGGCACTCACCTGGGGTGAACTGAAGGAAGGTAGAAAAAACTCCTACTTCTGTATATCACTTTTATTGATTTATTCCTTTGAGTTCTAGAAGCCATCTTGGCCTTTGAGTTTCTTAGTAAAACGATTAAGTAGCTTTTTGTTACCACTTTGTAGTTTAGAAAGTTCTTTCACGAGACTTATCTCATTTGATCCTCATACCAGTCTTGGGAGGTGGCAGGATAAGGCTTTATCCCCATCTCAGAGATCGGGAGACTGCAGCCCAGAGAAGTTAAGTTACTCATCTGGTTTCACACAGCTTGTGATAATAGAGCAGAAACTTGGAGCCAGATCTCCTATCTCAAGATGCAATCCTCTCCACAAACCCACACTCCCTGCCTACCACATCATGAGCACGTTGGAGAGGGAAGCTGTTCCTGGCTGAGTTTAGTGTAAAAACATGTGTCAAATATTGTGTTAGGTGCTGGGGCTTCTGGGATGAGGCAAGCAAAGGGGTGTAGCATATAAATCCATTGCTAAGTACAACTGATAGGAGCTGCAGACTAGGAAACAGGAACTGGGAGTCTGGGGGAAGCACCTCACCGCTAGACATGTTTATTGGGTGAAATTAATAACTGTTAAGGTGTTGGCTACACCTGCTGTCTTGTCTCCTAGAGCAGAGGTTGCAAATTTTCTCTATAAAGGGCCAGATGATAAATATTTGTGGCTGTACAGCCGTATATTTCTGTTAAAAACCACTCAACTGCCATTGCAGCATGAAAGCAACAATTAACAATATATCAACCAACAGACATGACTGTGTTCCAACAAAACTTTATTTACGAAACTAGGTAGCAGCTGGATTTGGCTTTATCCCATCCTAGAGCATTGACAGCCCTTCAGTGCTGTCTTGATGCCAGAGATATTCTCCTCTTCTGTCCCCTCCTCGACCTTAGCCTTTAAACCATGAGAGTGTCTCCCAGACCTGGAAGTGCTTTGATTCCTATGTGCTGAGATCTTAGCCTCTCAATCTCAAGTTTTATCTTCTGTCTAGCTGGACACTTACATTATTTAGTCAACCTAGATAGATTTTACTAGTATATGTCACCAATAGTATAGCTGATCTGTGTGATAGTTCTGCTGAGACATGTCTTAACATTGAGTTTTGAGTTCTGTAAAACAAATTGGACTGCTCCTCTGTTTATTCAGTGTGACTAAAATTCAATGTGAAATGCTCACTTCCAAAAGAAGGTGCATGCACACATGTGTCTACATAGATGTCAGCTTTCACACAGGCATAATGTGTTTGCAACTAATGCACATAGCCACAGATAATAGACCCAGGTAGTCACATGGCCTAAATATATTCTGGAAAGAATCTACCATTTCTGCAAAAGAATTCAAAAGGGAGAACTTCACATCTAACATTTTTTCCATGTTTGATTTCATTTGGTTTGGGAAGCGTTGGGCAGCCTCTGAAGGGAGGATTGACTGCCACCGTCCCTGGGAAAGCAGGCTTGCATTCCCTCGAAATTCTTTAGCCTCTGTGTTTGCTCTGGCTTTGCTCCTGCCTTCAGGTGGTGCCACGTTCGTGAAATGTGGCCGTTTTCTGCATAGCAGAAGAAGGTTTCGCCACTGCAGCCGCCATAGTCCTAAGTGCTTGCCTGACACCCTTTGATTTACGATTATGACAGGAAATCTTGTGAGAAGGAACTGTGGGGGTGAGATCAGTCATGATTTGTGATGGAGGCCAGATTAAAAAACAGCAACCGTTTCTTTGCATCCTGAGTTTCCATTTTGAGTTCTAACTCAGATTCCAATGTTTCTGCAACAGAGGTGGTTTCATTTGCTCTTTCTTTTCCTCCCTGCCCCCCCCATTCTTTCCTTTCTTCCTTCTACTCATTCATTCATTCATTCATGTGTTGAACTCCTGCCATTTGCCAGGCACTGGGCTTGGAACATTGTAAGTATTGTTATTCATTCCCGACATTGCTGTGTTGTAGGAGCTGCTATTGTTCCTATGTCACAGATGGGATGATAGGGGATCAGAAAGATTACAAAGTTTTTTCAATAAGTAGCTTTTCCATAACATCAAACACAGATTTACTTGTCTTCCCAGACATCTTCCCAGACCATCTATTGGTTCCACTGTGCCATGCTGCCCCGCAGTGACCAGGAAGTCAGGAACAGACATTATACCTGGGTTTCTCAACCTCAGAACCCAGCGACATCTGGGGCCAGAGAATTCTTTGTTGTGTGTGTGGGGGCGGGGCAGGGGAGTGGGGGTCGTTGGGGTGGGATTGTCCTGTTGATTGCAGGGTGTTTAACAACATCCCTGGCCTCTCCCACCAGATGCCAGTAGTATCTCTTCCCTGCCCTTGTGACAACCAAAAATGTCTCCAGACATGGACAAATGACTCCTGGGGACACAATCACTTCAAATTGAGAACCACTACATTATACCAAGCTCTTAAGGAATGGGTGGATTTCTGCCTTCTGCCTATCTGCCTGTGTGCTTCCTTTCTCCATACTCCTGTTCAGTCACTACTGTAATTTATATATAATTTATATATATATATGTGTGTGTGTGTGTGTGTGTGTGTGTGTATATATATATATATATATATAGAGAGAGAGAGAGAGAGAGAGAGAGAGAGAGATGAAGAGAAAGCAGAAAGGCTTTGTCTTTCAATCAGCCAAGCGTGCAGTTGAGCCGACCAAACCTACCTTTTAGAAATCCTAAGAGACTTCTCACACAAGAAGTGTCTCTCCGAGAGTGTTTATCGCTTCCTTTGAGCAAGGCTTTAAGTCTTTTGGGGAATCAGACAGGCCTGTCTCAAGTCCCTGAAAATAGCACTTGGCACTGAGCCCAGGTTCAACAAAAGTTTATTGAATCAATCAATAATTGAGTCAATCATTCAATTCAACGAATGAATGAAAATGACCTGAAGGAAACCAGACCAGGCTACAGAGAAGGGATGAAGGTTGAGTGGGGAGGGCAGGCCCCATAGTCTTGGCCTTGAGCAAGTAGGAGGGAGGGACTCACAGGCAGGGGCACCTGAGACGCAGAGAGGGACAAAGCTCAGAGGTGGGTTGAGAAAGGGGTGGCTTCGAATCCCGCATCACCTTGCTGTCCTGGCAGGCCCCGAGCCTCCACCCCTAAACCTATTTCCTTACCAGCGAGCTACAAATATGGGTCTGCAATCCCTTAGCTGCAATTCTGAAATCCAAAAGTTCTAAAAGTCAATTCCTTTTTCTAATTTTGCAGCAAACTCATTTGGTGGCAGATCTGACCCAAAGTGCCTAAAGAAATGATATGCTTTAGTCACCCTTCTTAGTGTGAATAATCCATACATTTCACCACAGAGACAATGGCTGATTGCTGTTTGGTGAAGGAGCTTGGCCCCAGCCCGCCCCAGGAAGGTTGAATATTGTCTGCCATGTGCCCCTCTGTTCTTTCAAAAGGCCCAGGGTTCTGGCGGAGGGGCTGTGGGCCTGGGCGAGCAGCCCCTTGCAGGCCAGCTGGGAAGATCCATGTGTAGAAAGGATCCGTGCTGCACTTTGCACGTATTTGGTGACTAATAAAGATCAGCTGTCTTTGCTATTATTTCTTTTGTTCTCATTGAAAACTTGACTAGACTTAAGCTATGGGGGTCTGCATGAGTTACTGACATTTTTGAGGTACAAAAAGCAGTGATTTTCCCCCCCTTTTGCTTAAAGCATGTTAGAATGCCAGTGGAGAGGGCACTCACTTCTGCCCCCATCTGCACCCCCTTCCTTCCCCACAGGCACCCCTCTGCTCAGCTATGAGGCATCTGCACCTTCCGTGGCTATTGCCACCTATGGCCGGCTGCTGGGCAGATCCCAGGCCATCCAGGTGGGCACTTCATGGAAGCAAGTGGACCAGTTCCTTGGAGTTCCATATGCCGCCCCGCCCCTGGCAGACAGCCGCTTCCGGGCACCAGAGCCCTGGAACTGGACAGGCTCCTGGGACGCCAGCAAGCCAAGGTATGGGTTGAGTGGAGTATGCCTAGTGAATGCCCAGAGAAGCTCTTTCCCATTCTAAGCCATCAAAATGAGTCTCGGTAGCAGAGCAGTGCATTCTGGTGTGAGCAACACGTGAGGGTGAGGGATGTATTAGTTAACATAGCATTAAGTGCTATAACAGATACACTCCCAAATATCAGTAGCCTAACCCTGTTCCCTTCGTGTGAAGTCCATCTCGTGATGCAGGGGCCTGTGTGCTCTGCTCCATGCAGGGATCCATGGACCCAGGCCAAGAGAGGCTCTGAGTTCTTCGGAGGCCACCTGGATGTTGGTCTGGGAAGGAGAGGCTGTGGAGTAATCAGCAGGAAGTTCCCATGGATGAGCCTGGAGGTGGGGTACACACGCCACGTGCACCAGGATTGCAGTGGCCAGGCTCAGCCTCCTGGCCACCTCTGACTTTAGTGAAACTGGAAAACACAGCACTGAAACAAAAGTCAATGAGCTAATGAAAAACATTTTGAGGACTTTTTTCCCCCCACAATATTACGTTTTTTTTTTTTAAAGCACCCATATCTTATCTTCTTCCCTTATCAAAATTTTCAATTTTCTTTTCCATGCATGCGTCACTTTAAATAGTAGATGTATTGAAGAACACTTTCATGATTTTTTTTTTCTAACTGAAGCATGCTCCGAGTACCTGTGAGAAGAGCACCCATTGCTGCTGCCTTTCTCTTCCCTCCCGGCAGGCATCTCGTGGCTCTGCCTTAGGCAGCTGCACCCTCCATGCGCATTACCACCCATAGCGGATGCTAAGCGGGTCCACAGGCCCATGGCCAGACAGAGTGGTGAGCTAGGAGGCTCTTGAAGTACTCCAGGGCAAGGATAGTGAGGGCTTGACCAGGACAGTGGCAGTAGGAAGGCAGAAAGGCATGGCTGTCTGTCTACCAATGGGAAACAAAGAGAACAAATACGCATGAATTAGGACACCTTATCACGTTAAGATGTACCCATTTGTCAGGTGAGGTGATCCAGTGACATAGGTCTTGAGTGGAGAGTGATTGCAGAGTGTGGGTCACTGCAGCCTAGGGGTTGGGTGGTATTCAAGTCGCTTGTTGGGTGGCTGATCACTATGCTGCCGTTAGGCATGGTCTCAGCTGTGGTCTCAGTTCTTATAGCAGGACATGCTCAAACCAGCACCCTGGGACTCTGTACTGGTATAGGATGCAGGTCAGACATCCCTTCCAGAGAAAGGTCTACACATTGGAGCAAGGAAGCGCAATGGTCCCGAGAGGCTTCTATTGCCCCCTTCTCTATCCAGGGCCGTTGGGTCAGCACCTTTCTCTCTGGGCCAATGCATTGTCCCTGAGAAACGTTCCTCCACAGGCCAGTAGCCAGAGAGTGAGGGGCACCCTGTTGTTCCTTCCATGGACTAGCCAATGCCATTTCTGGAAGCTGCCTGATTTCCACAGAGCTGGTGGGACACCAAGCCTTTGGAGTGAGGTGATGGACTCCGGCCATAGACAACAGGTGGGGAGGGGAGATGGGGCATGTGCCCTTATGTGTTTCTCCTGGAAGTCACACGGTCTGTATCTGCAGGGCCAGCTGCTGGCAGCCAGGCATCCTAACACCCACGTCTCCAGAAGTCAGCGAAGACTGTTTGTATCTCAACGTGTTTGTCCCCCAGAATGTGGTGAGTTCCAAAGCCCTTGCTATGTCTGCCCTGAGAACTCTCCCCTTGGAAATCCACTGTCCCCCAGTGCCAGCGCTGTCCGCTCACCTCCCCAGTGGCCCACGGAGCCTGTGCTCCTCCAGTGCTGTCTGCAGCTGGCTCTGAGCTTTGTGGAGGCTGGATGGCAGGAAGTGAGCAGAGGGGCCTCCCACTTCCTACGTGACCGCATCTGCTCCTGCCCTCGTCCTCACCCACCGCGCCACACAGGGTGGATGGCACACGTCAGTCGTTCCAAGGGCCTGTCAGGCGTGGCACTGTTCTGGGAGGGGCACAACCATGAACCAGAGCCCTCGTGAGGCTTATGTGTTAGAGAGAGGGGCAGAAATAAATAGATAAGCAAATAAATATTGACTAATTACAATATTAATAAGAACTGTGAAGAAAAATAAGCAGGGTGAGGAGACACCAAGTGACAGGAGGTGTCAGCAGGGAATCAGGAGGTGACACTTGTGCAGAGGCGTGGAGGGAGGAGGGTGTTGAGCTGTGCAGCTACGTGGGTTGGGATGAAGGCCGCAGCCCTAGAGGGTTACGGGCTGGGCAGGGGAGCCCAATTCAAATGAGTCTGCCAGTGAGGAAATGGGGTGCTCTCCTTGGAAAGACCCCTCCAGAAGCATTTCTCTGGAGCCTTCCTTGTGGACTTTCGTTTGAGGCAGAAGGGTGGTGAGGTTTTGGACTTTGACCTTAAATCCAGTTAGGCCTGTTTGAAGGCCTATATCTGCCTGAGTAGTTGCCACAATCCTGGTGCTGAGTGTTTGGGTCTCCTGTTTAGGGGCAAGGGTCAGAGCTCCGCATGAGAGAACGAGGAAATGGTGAGCTTGTCCTCCAAAAGACCACCAGGGTGGCTACGTAGCAGAAAGGAGAGCATCATTGGCAACATCAGTTTGTAAATTGGGAAGAGCCAGTCTCTGGTGTGTACGAAGATGCTTTCTCCTTGAAGAGGGAAAGAGCAGGTGGGGTTTGTTATGCCTCATAGGGTCCATATTACATAGTAGAGTCACACATATTCAGCAGGTTTGGGGGAAAAGCTATATATATATTTATGAGGGGACTCGAGCTCATGCACAATGGGTAAACATATACATAACATGTGCCCTGTGTTCAGTTTGGGGTGGGGCTTAAGCATTAAAATGAGGTAGATTTGGGCTCTTTACATGGAAAGATGAACTATAGGACACACAGTTTGTGTGCAGCCTCTATAATTTGAGTGAAACTGGCTTAGGGTCTGCAGGCTGGTCCTTTGTCTAACCAGAGCTATAGTGATCTGGGCGGTAAACCAGAGATAGAAGGGGGCTGATCATTTTCCTCATATCTCCTATTGTTAGAGGGTTTAGCAAGAGTATGGCTTTCCTTGTAGCCATAGGAATTCAGAAAGTTGCCATGCCAGCTGAGCCCTCAACCCTCAACCCGTAAGCAACTTTTGCTTCCTTAACCTTAGGGTCCATGCTCTGTCTTAGTTGACATAGGGGCATCTATTTCGATCTCTCAGATCGCAAGTTTTAGGAAACATGAGTTTCTGAGGATGTGGACCTAGTCAGTGTAGAGGGATCCGATCCCAGGGCAGGTGTGACAAGTCTGCCTCTTCCTGGTCCCCAGGCTACTAGCAGTGAGGGTAATTGCACTTCCGAGGTTTGGTCCCAGGTCTGCAGTGAGCTGCCATTCCTGCCACGTGCTTACTCTGCAATGTGGGCTCAGTGTCCCCACCTTCTGTGAGCCTCAGTGTCCTTATCTGTAAAATGGGGCTTGATGGTTTGCTCAGGCTGCCATAGCAAAGTACTGCAGGCTGGGTGGCTTAAACACAGGAACTTATTTTCTCACAATTCTAGAGACAGGGGTTCAGGGTTAAGGTGTCGGCAGAGCTGGTTCCTCCTAGGCCTCTCTCCTTGACTTGTAGATGTCCATCTTCTTCTCCCTGTGTCTTCACGTGGTCTCCCCTCTGCACCTGCCTGTTCCCTGGTCTCCCTTCTTATAAGGACACCAGTCCTGTTGGACTAGGGCCCACACTTATGGCCTCACCTTATCCTCATTACCTTGTTAGGCCCCATCTCCAAATATAGTCACATTCGTGGTCCTGGGGGCTAGGACTTCATCGTATGCTCGAGGGGACACTCAGCTCACTGCACAGGGCTAAGTGTGCCCACAGGGCAGAGTTGATGGGGGAGCCTGCATAGACCTAGAATCTGGCTCCTAGCATGGGAACAGCCTCACCAAGCTCTTGCAGGTGAAACAGGCATCATTTCCTCTAGCCTGCTTTTCTACCACCCCGCAGGCCCCCAACGCGTCGGTGCTGGTGTTTTTCCACAACACCATGGAGGGAGAAGGGAGCGCAGTATGGCCAGCTGTCGACGGCTCTGTCCTCGCTGCTGTTGGTGACCTCATCGTGGTCACTGCTGGCTACCGAGTGGGTGCCTTCGGCTTCCTGAGTTCCGGTGAGTTGCTGACCCCTGAGCCAAGGTTCAACCCCTTCTTCCTTAAGCCCCTTCCCCTCGCTGCCCCTGCCCCTCCTCCAGCACAGCTGTGCACACAGTGGAGAGTCCAGCATATTCTGAGACCTTCCATTGATGCTGACACCTGTGGATGAGAGCAATAGTTGATGCTTATTGAGACCTTACTGTGTGTCTAAAGCTGTTCCAAGTACAGCTATGGGTGTTAGCCTGTGCGTGTGTGTGTGTTGAAGAGGAAGTTGAGGCCCAAGGAGTGTAGAAACTGGCTCAAGGTTATACACTTAGGAAATAGCAGAGCCAGGATTCACCAGGGCTGGACTTGCCCTGGACAAGCTCCAAGAGTGGGCTTTTGCTCTCCTGCCCACGGGGAAGCCATCTGCCTTGGAATGAGGGCGGTATAAATAGTGATTTCCACCTCCTTTAATTCTGGCCTCACTTGTGAACATTGTCCTGTCCCATACCCAGGCACAGCCCTGTTTATCACCCTGGCTGTGCCTCCATCCTCTGCACCGACCACCAGGGCAGAACTGAGCCCTGGACCGACCCAAACGGCCTCCACCCATGTCTTCTCCTCCGTCTCCAGATACCACTAGGAGTAGCGGAGGTGTCAGGCCTCAGTGGCAGAGGGTGGACACACTGGCCTTGGAATCTGAAGAGCCAAGGGCCAGCTCTGCCACTTGTTGGCTGTGGGACCTCGGACAAAGCCCTTCCTTTCTCTGAGTATCAGTTTTCTCCTCTGGAAAATGGGAATAATTTTACCCAACTTCTGTAGTTACTGTGTGTTCAGGTGAGGGGATAGCTGGGAAGGGCTTTAGAGACTGTGATGTGTTGTACATGCCCTCAAGGATGGGGACCGAGCTTCATCTCTGTTTAAAAAGGGTCTCGTTGAAGACCTGGAATGTTTTATATGCTAAGTAAGGGTGAGCAGGTGGGAGTGATCTACAGTGGACTAGGACGTCTGGAGGATAGCAGGTTTCGGAGGAGCTGAGTGACCGCATGGCATGAGGCCTTGGATGCCCCAGTGAAGGTTCTAGGCCTGGACCACAAACAAGAAGATAACAGGCTTGGGAAATGGGCAAGAAGTTAGGGCAATATGCAACCAGATGCCAACGTGGGAGTCAGGGATGATGAACACATTTCAGATTTTCCTTTAGAGATAGCGGGATCAGCTGGGAATCCGAGAGTGGATACAGCTTCCCCCTTCCTGGCCTCCATTCTCTGTCTGGGAGACTCTGGGTCCCTCACTGGACCTTTCCAAATCCCAGTTTTCTCACCAGTAAAACGAGGAAAATTATCCCCACCCTCTTTCACATGTATGTGGTGTTGAGACGCGAATATGCTGACTGGGGTTTTGTGGAAGCTTTTTGGAGAATATAGATAATTATTCACATACGAGTTTATTTTCTTTTTTAAAGAGAGAAAACTCTTTTCTCTTTTTGAATATAACACTGACAGTGATTTGTTAAGTCAGGAGCCCCTTTCCCTGCAGAGGTGGGTGGCATTCAGGTCTGGTCCTGTTGGAGGTCCCGTGGAGCTCTCCCCAGACATGACTGACTTTTTGGCTTAGAGCATTTCTAGACAGAAGAGAGCGACTTTCCATATGTCGTCTGTCGCTGAGGGGGTGGAGGATTTTGATTTCACGGAGTGTAATCTTGTTGCGAATTCATGTGTTTCTGGAAAGGCAAACTCATTTTGGCTGCTGGCAGGGGCAGCCAGCGGGGAGGCGACGGAAGCTCCAGAACACTCAGCCCCACTCATTCCTGACTGGCACCAATGCTGCCTGTTCATTTCGCTCAAAGGAAAACTGTCAGCAAGAGGGAAGAAGATTGCACTGATGGAGAGCCGCTCCTTACCAGATCTTTCTCCTGGACTACCCCACTCAGCTCTCACAGAGCTGCGAGGCCGGCAGCGTGGCCATTTTACAGATGAGATAGCGAAGCTCAGTGGGACTTTGTCACCCACGGTCATATGTGGCAGCCTGGGTGCTAAACTCTGTTGGTTGAACAATAACAAGAAATACGAATTGCAGCTTGCTCCTTTGGATGTCTAGAAATGCCCCTTTGATGCCTTGCTCCTCAGCTGTATAGAGCAGGGTCGGTCTTTCGTGTTTATTTAGCCACAGGCCATTTTCTTTGCTTTGTTCAGGAGCCCTTGTAGCACGTCCTGCATTCCCAAAGAGCTTTTGGGTCTCTTGCATTGCACCTCCCTGCAGTTCGCCCTGAGAGGGGAGCAAAGATGTTAGTGTTGGTCAGGAAACTGAGTCACAAACACAGGACATGGGGCAGAGGACCAGCAGAGCCGTGATAGGGACGCAGGCCTCCTAGCTGCAGAGGAGCGGTTCCTGCCCATCTCCTGCACCTTGGTGACCAGGCTCTGCAGAGCAGTGCCGGAAGCAGGAGCTCACCTCCCCGAGGAGAAAGGAGCAGGCCCCTGGCCTCTGTTAATCCTCCTAGTAAACCCGCGGCACAGATACATCATCCATCCCTTTTTCCACTTAAAAAAAACAATCAGTAGATTTTACTATTTAGAGCTGGTTTAAGTTTACAGAAAAACTGAGCAGAAAGTACAGAGAGTTCCCAAACACTCTGCCTCCCCTGCCTTCGGTTTCCCCTGTTGTTATTAACACCATGTCCTGGGTGGGCTCATTTGTTACACTTGACGAACCAGTAGGGATATTTTATTATTCACTGACATCCATAGTTTACATCTGGGCTGGTGCTCTGTGTTGTGCAATCTCTGGGTCTTGCTGAATGCGTGACGTCCTGTGTCCACCCTTGCAGGACCCTACAGCAGAATTTTATTACCTTACAACTTCCTCGTGCTCCTCCTATTCATCACTTCCTTTTTCCATTTTAAACAGTTGTAAACTGCAGTTCAGAACATAGGTCTGGAAAGAGCTGGTCACGCTGAGTGCCGGCCTCGGCCTGGGGTCCTGCAGGCAGCGCAGCTTTGCATCTGAACAGGACAGGGGCTGAGAGCTGCTCTGTCGCTCCGCCGGGCTGGGGGCTCTGGGCAGTTCCTCCCTTCCACATCCCATCCCAGGCTGCGCATCCATCAGCAGAAGATGCCAACACGTGTCGGGCAGCTTCCATGAGCTGAGGCACGTGAAAGACAAACACCAGAACCTTGCCTGGTACCTAGCAGGGCTCACACATGTTAATCCTTCTTTCTTCCCCCAGATAGGGGCTCTTTCAAGGCAGGGCTATGTTTCATCATTTCTCAGCCCAGCATCTGGCCAGTGGCGGGCACAAAACTGCCTCTTAATGGCAGCTGCAGCCGTCTTGTCATTTACTGAGTCAGGGAGAGTAGCTGCTGTGTGCGTCACCTCATCTCATAATGTGCTGCAGCAGCTACTGCTGTGTCCCAGAGAGAAGATGGTCCCCTAGAGCCCCATGTTCTAGAGGCTCTTTTCAAAAAGAGATGGGAGAAAGATGAAAATGGAAGCCCGTGCCCGCCCTGAGGCCGACTAGACAAACTCGGCTCTCTGTTGAGGAAAGGCAAGCCCAGCCCAGTATTTAAAGGGAGCCTCAGCTCCTGTTGAAATGAGCTGTCGGAATGAACAGTGAGGGGTCCCTGGTGTGCCAGGGGAGGCCATTTCCCCAAGCCTGAGTCCTTCAGGCGGGATAGACCCCAGGGGCATCTGGCACTCAGTGGTTGTCCTCTGTCTGGCAAAGCAATGCAGTGAGGGGAGCTGGGGGGCAAGGGAGGCCAGGGTGGACAAGGCGCTTGCTTGTGGGCCCTCCACAGGGCGTGGGAGGGGAGGAAGTGTGCTTTGGCCAGGGAGCCAGACAGAAGGCCTGGCTGCCAAGGGTGACCACGCAGTGCATGACTTCATCATCCCTGGGACACTCGGAGGCTTGTGGAGAGAGTCTGCTGTCCTTCCTAAGCAGAAAGTCAGGCACAAATGTGGCCCCAGCGGGCACCCGTCACAGGGGCTATTCCTGCTACTGAAGACAAGACAGGCCCTGCTAAAAGCATTGATGAGATAATGTTAGGACCTAAACCTGTTCTATTTTATTAAAAAGTTAATCTTCTATAGCATTTGATGCCAGGCTCTGATCTGTTCCGTTTTGCAAATATTAGCTAATTTATTCATCGTAACAACCTAAAGAGGTAGGTGCTATCATCATCCCCATTTTTTAGATAGGGAAAACCAAAGCACACGAACGTAAGTAACTTGTCCAGGGCCCCACATGGCTAGTCGGTGGTGGAGCCGGCACTGCAGCCAGCTGGTTTGGCTCCACAGTCGCCATGCCATGCTGCCTCTTATCCGTGTCCATTGATAAGACCTGCTTGAGGACCTACCGTGAGCCCAGAACTGCACCAAGGGGCTTCTGCTGAGGGCGTGCTTGAACGTGTGCTGGCTGGTCCTGATCCGAGGGGTAGGAACCTAGAGGTGGTGGGGCAGATCAGGGCGGGCAGGGTGGATGGGACGAGTGTTATCACAAGTCCAGCTTTCGTTCATATCATCTCCCCACCAAGCTGTAGCCCCTGGGCAGCCCAGAGCAGCCCTCTTCTGTCCTGCCCCACAGGGCCAAGCCTCATGCATGTTAATCTGCAGTGCAGTGTGTGCTTGTGGCAAGACTGAGCGAGGTGGGACCTGAGGGGTCCCCGAGCATGAGAACTGGGGCTGAGCCACAGCACACTGCAGCAGCGTGGACGAGGGCACGGCGGGCGGCCTCTGGGCAGGGATGGGGGCCCAGACTGATCAGACAGGCTGACGGCACATCTTAGCGGGTCTAAACAGCCAGGAAGATGTTCAGACTTGATACACTAGGAATGAGGCAGTTATGAAGGCTCTTTGAGTAGAGAAAGTTCCAGAAATAGAGCACTTACGTTTTTTAATGTGCGCCATTGATTTTTCAGCAAATGTTTGTTGAATTGGATTGAGCGTTGGTTGTGAATTAGGATTTGAGTTCCAAGTTGATCTCAAATTTACTTCTTACATCTAAAGAAACTCTTTCCTCCTTAAGTTTTAATTTCTTCACCAGTAAAAGAAAGGATTGAACTTGACTTCTCAGACTATAATTGCTTGTTAACTGCCTTCTGAGTGAGTGTCTGAGGCTGTGTGCTAGGACAGCACCTAGCAGGGTGCCTGGCCCCAGCCGGAGCCCAATTCGCACTGGTTTGATGAGGGGCCCCTGGAGCACACCCTCACCTCTGACCTCCCAGGAGTGTGACCCCAGAGGTCAGCACTGGCCCTGCTCGTGCATTGGGAAGCCTAGCTGATATATGGGAAGTCAGAGTCAGGAACGTCCCCCTTTCCCCATCATCACTAGAAATGCAGGCCACAGATGTCACCTCCCAGATTTGCAGGATTTGGCCCCAGTTGGTTGGCACCCTGCTTTCCTGGGCTCCCTGAGACCTTGGGGGAAACGAACACGTTCATCCTAACAAATGGAACATATGTGCAATCCAGAAAAGTTCACAGTGGGGACCATGTCCTACCAATGGCTTCACCAATCCCCAGAACATGAAACACATTTGAAGACATTCTGAATGTCTTCCCAGCTGGAAGAATAATTTGTATTGTTATGCACCTGAGCTGGTGTTCTCTTCAGCTGTGTGAATACTAGATTGGAGAATCAGGATGCAAGATTTTTTCTGTTTTTTTTTCTGTTTTGACTATTTGAGAATATGGGGTCGTGTCAGTAGTTTCTCGCTGGATACTGAATCCTGTCAATCACAACTCCGGTGCCTTGTGGGGAAATGTGAGGGGATGGAGCTCTGGGAGTGGCCTGAGCTGCCGATGGACGTTCACTCGATAGTCATCAGCATGCAGGTGTCATGGAAGCTGTGAAATCTGTTTCCTGGGGCAAAGTCAGAAAAAGAAGACTGGGAACCCTAGTCCAGATGAGAATGTGGTTTAGTGATTCAAGGTTTTTAAAGGAGGACAAGTTAGCGGAGTAGCTTGCCAAGGAGCATCCACTGAATTCACAGGACAATCAGAAGGGTTGGGGTATGTAGTGTCCCAAAAAGCTAAGGAGAAGAGCATGTTTTTGCTATAGTTCTTTGTGTCTCAATCATTTCATTAAAAAAAAATAGTGCTGGGTTTTCAACGAATGTTTATTGACTTCCATGAAAAAGGGAAGAAATCAGTTCAGTTGCATGATATTAAAGGCACAGAAGACAAGGCAGGGGGAGAATGGGATCCAGAGCCCCAGCCTGGCCTGGCCACTGTCCGGGACAGCCACATACCGCGTGGTCCATGCTGCATGGTCCAAGTGTTGTCACCTCCTTCCTGACGATCGGCGGAGCTAGGGGGTGAAACTGCTATGCATTGTCTCTAATCTGAGCAATTGCCCCCATCTAATGATGGGGAAGCTGTGGCCCAGGGAAGTGAAGGTCTCCTCACTGGCAAAGCCTAATGCTAGAATTCAAGCCTAAGTGTGTCTCATTTCGAAGCCCATGTTCTTCCCACTGTCCCTCACTATATTTGGAACCCACTGTCCTGACCTGTGGGATAAGAGCCCAGGTCCCCTGGAGGAGCCACGTGCCTGGCATAGATAGCACCATGAATGTTAAATCCGAGGTTGCAAAATCACAAAGGGTAAACGGCTTTCCTCTTTCCTGAAGGGTCGGGAGAGGTGAGTGGCAACTGGGGCCTGCTGGACCAGGTGGCAGCTCTGACCTGGGTGCAGAACCACATTGGAGTGTTCGGCGGGGACCCTCGACGTGTGTGCCTGGCGGCAGACCGTGGCGGGGCTGACGTGGCCAGTATCCACCTTCTCACGAGCAGAGCCACCAACGCCAGATTATTCCGGAGGGCTGTGCTGATGGTGAGTCTCCAGCTCTCTCTTCAGTCTTACTGCAGATGCTGGTGGGGAGGTGGTTCTCCCTAGATGGCTTCAGTTGCTTGGGTTTTCCTTGTCCTTATCCTGAGTATGGATCCTGTTTATCCTTCCATGTGCATGTGATTGCAGGAAGCTATAGGGCTCCCTGAACACTTTCCACTCATGCCAAATTCTAGGTGGTGAAGTGTTTTGTTTCCTGGGAGTGCCTTGCTGGGGTTCAGTGGTCTGAACCAGCCAGTACCTCCCTTGTCAATGAATGGTAGCTAAGAAGAGAACTCACTACTCATGATTCTACTGGATGGTCTGAAGTGATTATGGTGATGGTGACAACGATACAATGATGTTGATGACGACAATAATTAGGATGATATAATGACGTTGATGAGGATGATGATGATGATGGAAGGAATAACCTGGTTGGTCACAGCGTAAGCCCTGATGTCTGTTGTTCTGCTATTAATTCGTTCCTAATGTTGTGGTGCACCCAATTAGTGCCAGGTGTGCTGTGCTAGGTGCTGGAAATGCCGTGATAAATAATACGTGCCCCAGTTCTCAGGAAGCTTGTAGTTACTGAGGGTGGCGGACAAATACTTGAAGCAGATATTTAAAAGAGGGTCTTAGGGTGGCCCGAAGGGAAGACACCAACCAAGCACAGGGGATGGAGCAAGTGTGGAGGAAAACATCCCTGGAGGGGGAATGTCTGAGCTAAATGCAGAAGGCTGTGTGGGCGTTAACTAGGCAGAGTCCTGGCAGCAGGGAGAGCTTGGAGGACAGAGCCCTGGTGGGCAGCAGCGTGGAGGCAGACAGGGGCCAGACCACCCTGAACAGCTTAGGTTTTATCCTGAGTGCCTGGGGAGCCTTCAAAGGAGTTTGTCTGTTTGTTTGCTTGTTTGTTTCATTTTATGATTTAACTATTTTAAAGTGTCCAGTTCAGTGGCATTAATTACATTCCCAATGTTGTGTGACCATCACCACTCTCCACCACCAGAACAGAAATTCTGTATTCATGAAACACTAACTCCCCACTCTCCACCCCCTCAGCCCCTGGTGACCTCTATTCTACTTCCTGTCTCTAGGAATCTGCCTGCTCTAGGTACCTCACACCAGTGGAATCATACAAGGTTTGTCCTTTTGTGTCTGGCTTATTTCACTTAGAGTGACGTTTTCAAGGTTCATCCATGCCGTGGCATATATCAGTATTTCTTTCCTTTTTAAGGCTGAATAGTATTCTGTTGTGCAGTTAGACCACATTTTATTCATCTAGTCATCTGTCGACGGACACTGGGTTCTACCCTGTCCTATTGTGAACACTGCCACTATGAACACTGGTGTCCCATCAAAACATTTTTAAGCAGGTGGGAAACTTGCTTAGAACAGCCCTTTAGGAAGACTTCTCTTAGGGTGGGATGGAGGATGGAATTAAGAGGGGCAACACCGGGGACAGAGAAAGAGATTAGGGGACTATGAAGTATGAAGTCCCCCTTGGAGAACCACTGAGACCCGCACCATGGCTGGAGCCCCCATCGTCGACCTGCTAGCAATTCTAAGACCCCGTGACTGTACCCCAGCCTTGCCCAGCCTTCCTGGGATCCAAATCCTTGATCATAGGACAGAAGAAGTGCCATGTTATAGGTCTTTAGGAATACTTGATGCTAGATGGCGTTGTCACCATTCCCAACAGAAAGCAGTGACACCTGTCACTCCATCTCTCTCTGTCAGCCGCAGGAGCCTTTATAGTTCCTTGGAGTCCATGCTCTGTTCTGCCTCCTGCAGGCAGTGTCCTTTGTGTGGAGCACGTTTCTGCCAGCCCCCTCTTTGCCTGCACTTCTTGTCCTTTAGGAAAACTTTCCCGGCTTTTCAGCCTAGAACGGGGCCCCCTGTCTATGGCTTGTGCTGCTTGTGTTTCTGCCCAGCATTTCCCATCATTTCCATCAGTAAGTAATTGCTCTCAGGGCCAAGGCTGCCCCCTCACAAGGCTGTGAGCTCCAGCAGAGCAGGGCGTGTGCCTGGCTCTCCGCGGGGCCCCGGGTACTCACACAGCGAGTCCTGCAGTGAGCGGATGCTCTGTAATTAACATGGCAGCAAGAGCAGATGGCTGGGGGAGTGTTCAGTTGTTGTTCTTGGGGCCCCGGGACCCACAGGCGGCTTCACTTCCCTCCTTCCCACCTCTTCCTCATGTTTCTTGTTCTCTGATTCCAATTGTCTTCACTCTGTCCCTCTGAAGTTGGTCCATCTCAGTGGCAGGAGAGTTGAGCACAAACATCTTTCAATTCCTGGTGTTGAAAATAGATTATCCTGCTTTGGGTTGATCCTAGAGGGATTTCTCCAGGGCTCTCTCAGAAACCAGACCCTCACTAGGACCCAGAAGATGCTCAAAGTACCTTCTAATAGGCCTAGAAGACAGATTTTTCTTTTTGAGGGTTTAGGTGTTTGGGGAATTTCAAAAACTAATCTGTTTTAACAAATGGCAGCATATTTAAAAATAAACCCTCCCGTCTGCTTTAGTCATTTGGAAGCAGATTTTACAACTGCTCCCAGCAGTCTTTGGGATGCATGTGAAATTATTTGGAATCAAGAGAACTAAAATACTTCAATATATTAGCAGTTCTTAAATGTGTTCTTTACCAACAGATGTTTGGGGGAATGAATGTGAGTTGGAAATTTATTCTTGGATAAAAATCTTAAGTCTATCTGCAAATCTTGGGTTCAAAACTGTTTAAACATTGGCCAAGAGAAACTCTGGTGATGATAATTAATAACCTATTATCGTTTAGCACATTGGAGACCACAAAGCACTTTCAATATCTCATCTCATAGATTCCTCACATTGATTGGCATGGGGTCTTTATTTTATTTTCAATCTAGAGATAAGAAATCTGAGGCTCAGAGAAGTTCAGTGACCTGCCAAAGAACACACAGCAAAGGGGTGCTGCATTAGTGTCTAGAACATCCAGCCAACTCCTGTGTTTTCCCACTCTTTATGAGGCTGCTGTTCCAGGAACTTGGGACTCGGTTGGGGTCTCAAGGTGTAAGAGAAAGAGCCCAAGGCTAGAATCAGATAGGCCTGCATTAAAATCTTGGTCTTGGAGGAAACCTTTCATCTTGCATTCTTCACCTATAAAATCAAATCAGTATTCTATCTCCCAAGGTCTCAAGATGCTGTTATGACATAAAGGTTGCAAAGTGTCCTGCACACCATACAAACTCAAGACATCCAAGTTCCCCCTTTCCTTGCCAAGAGAAGGGATCTCCAAATAAATGCAAGTTCCAGGACATTTCACCTGTCCTGGGACCAGGTCAGAGGAGGAAGGGAGGCTTCTTGCAAGCATACATTCTGTGGCTCTGTGCCCGGCCAGTTTTAAGAGAAGACAGAGGAGGTCAGGTCCTCTGTGGTATGATTCTTGTGCCCCAGAAAAAAATTTCTGTTGCTGTCCTATGACACTGCCCCAGTTCCCTGTTCCTCAGGGGGATTCCAAGCCTCATGCGCTGGCCTCAAGCTAAACTTTCCCATCTCCTTTCTTGTTCCCCTCCTGCATGAATCCCACACTCCAGGCTCACCAGCTATCTCCATTCCTCCCTTCCTAGGAAGTACCATGACCTCTTCTGGGCCTTTCCATCTCTCTTCTGTGGTCAGCATGTTTAGTATCCACCTGGAAATTTCCTCCCATCGTTTGGCTGAGCTGAAAGGAGCCTCCAAGCCTTTCCTCACCTCTCAAAACAGAAAGAATCTCACCTTGGTAAAAAGACTTCTATTTAGCAATTTTTAGAAATTCTGTCTTATTTTACATGCTTACAACTATTCTAACATCTCTTATTCCAATTCTATGGTGGTTTGGGCCCAGAGTAGTTTTCTATTGTTTGTAGAGACAGGGTCTCACTCTATGACCCAGGCTGGAGTGCCATGGCATGATCATGGCTCACTTCAGTCTCAAACTCCTGGGCTCAAGTGATCCTCCTGCCTCAGCTTCCCCAGTAGCTGGGACTACAGCTACATACCACCATGCCCAGCTAAATTTTTATCTTTATTTTTTGTAGAGATGGGATCTCACTATGTTTCCCAGGCTAGTCTTGAACTCCTGCCCTCAAACAATCCTCTTGCCTTGGCCTCCCAAAGTGCTGGGATTACAGGCTTGAGCCACCATGCCTGGCCTGGTTTCTATTGTTTTTGAGACATATCTCCTAGTGTGAACGCCCTCTCCATATTTTCTAGTTCATACATACTGGCATAGGGAAATCAGTTGATTCAACAATTTGCTGAGCTCTCTCATCATGTCTAATGGTTTCACTGGGTTTTCTATGAAGTTACCTCATCATTTGCAAATAATAGCAGGTTTTCTTCTGTACCCCTTGGAGCAAAATGCTCAGCTGCTGCTATAACAAGGAAACCCATCACTAAAGCAGCTTAGAAAATAAATAAGTTCATTTTTTTCTCTTTGTCTTTCTCATATCATTTCCCAAGGTGAGCAGGTCAGGTGTCTCTTGACCACTGGGCTCTAGTTTATTCTAAGTGTTTCTCTGTCATCCCTCGGGGACTTGTTCTCATCTGCAGGGTTGAGGCTGGGCTGCCAGGGGTTCCAGAAAGCAGGGAGGGAATGGAGAGGGTGGACGGCTACCCCTGACTGCCTTAGGGCTTTGCTGGGAAGGCCACACTCCGTCTTGCCCGCACAGTGACAAGTGGAGCTGCGTTTGATTTGTTTTTGTTCTCTTTCTTTGTCTTTCTTGATCATGCTTATCCATGTTTTTTTATCTGGCACATTAATCTTACTATTTACATAATTGTTTTTCTTTTTAAAATCTTCTCTATGGCCACATTTTAAAAATGCTATTTCACTAATGTCTGCCCTTATCATTATCCTCTCCTTTCTTCTTGTGCCCTTGACCACCTGTTGTTCTTTCAACTTCTTCAGCTGAAAGCTGACCTCATTGCTTTCATTCTTTGTTTTCTGATCAATGTATTTTAAGCAATAAATTCCCTTCTTACTATTTTATTAGCTATGCTCCAGAAATTTTGAAAAGTAGCAACATGTCATTTATTTTTTCTTGCATTATTCTTAACTCAAGGATTTTTTTTTTTAGATTTTATTAAATAGATCCCTAGAATTTTTATCCATCCTTTTGCAATTAGATTTCCAATTTTATTGCATTATTATCATAGAGTGTGAACTGGAAGATGCTGACTCTGAAATTTATTAGGACTTTCTCGGCGACCTAATGGATTCTCCATTTGTTGTCAGAAAAGTTATATAATGTTATCAAAATCTATCTACCTATCTATTTATATACTTATCTTTGCTTAGTCTATCAGTTTCTGAGATTTTTGTATTAAAATCTCCAAATAAAATTATTGATTTATCTACTTGTTCCTATAACAGTTACTTAATATATTTTGAAACCGTATCATTCCATTAAGAGGTTGCGATTATTATATCTTCTTAATGTATTGCTCCTTTTGTAATGTCTTTGCCCTTATGTAATTTATTTTCATCTTAAATTCCATTTTGTCTCAAAATGCAGCACAGGTTTTCCTTTTATTCATTTTTGTATGAAAAATTTTCCACCCCTTTATTTTCAAATTCTCTTCTCCTTTCCTTTTAAGTACGTGTCAAGTAGACAATACAAGGCTGGAATTTTAAAAATTCACCCTCTAAACGGGTCTTTGAAACATATAAATGAGATGGTATCACACCCCTACTGGGACCCTCCCAATGGCTCCCATTTCTCCTAGAAAGACTGTGAGTCCCTCTCTCTCCTCTCCAGTGCCCTGCAGGACCTGCCTGCCTTCCTCCTCCCCTAGCTCACTCAGCCCGGCCACCTGTCCTTTTTTTAGTTCCTTTAGCAGGCAGTCCTGTTCCTGCACACAGGAATGGCCCCGCTATTCCTATTGCCTTCATTCGCTGCTTAGATCTTTGTGTGGCTGTCTGCTGCTCACCTTTCAGGCCTCAGCTCAAATGTTGCCTACACTGGGAAGCCTTTCCTAAACATGGATCTAAAGGCCCACGCCCTGGCAGGATGCTGCTTCGGAGCCTGCCATTTTCTGTACTTCACTCACCATCGTCACAAAGCGTCTTGTTTATTTATGACATCAGGGACCCTGATTCCATGATATCAGAGACCTCATCTGTTTTTCACAGCCCCAGCACCTAAGCTGTGTCTATTTAATAGCTTTCCAAAAATTATTTGTAGAAAGAAATTTTTGTAAGAATGAATAGCTCAGGTATGGGCCAGGTGGTGGCTCACACCTGTAATCCCAGCACTTTGGGAGGCCGAGGCAGAAGGGTTGCTTGAGGCCAGGAGTTTGAGACCAGCCTGAGCAACATAAGCAAGAACCCATTTCTACAAATAATAAGAAAGTTAGCCAGGCATGGTGGTGTGCACCTATAGTCTCAGCTACTCAGGAGGCAGAGGCAGGAGGATCCCTGGAACCCAGAAATCTGAGATTGTAATGAGCTAAGATGACACTACTGTACTCTAGCCTGGATGACAGAGCAAGACCCTGTCTCAAAACCAAAACAAAACAAAACAAAACTAGGTCAGGTATAACAAGCAATGTGCAGAAGAATCTAGGTGGAATACAACTTTCATAACAATTGCTAAGAATTTGTTCTTTCCCTCAAGCCCTCAATCCCTTATGCCCAGCTTCAAATTTGACAAGACACCCTGAAAAGTCACACAATCTGGTTTTCTTAAGCTGCACCTCAAGAAGATGCTGAGCTGCAAACCAGTACCAGCTTCTCTTGGTTTCCTTTGCTCCCCTCTTTCTCTCTAGTTGCATGTTTACTTGAAAATTTGCAACCTGTAGAGCTTCTGAATGAATCACCCACCTAACTCAACCGACAAGCTCTCCCTGCATCTCAAGGGTTAAATATTTATTAGGTTTATTTTAATCAGGAATAAATACATGATTTAACAACGTGTAATGCTTCCCAATTAAGAAATCCCTCCAAGTGTTCCCCAGACATTCCAATCACATTCGTCACAACGGAAAACAATACATGAGACGCTGTACAGACATCTGGAGCTCAGGAGGTCGCCCTGCCGGATGGTGGAAGTCGACGTCCGCAGTGTTAGATTCGAGTCCCATACGTCAGCTAGGCCCTCCAAAACAGCCTTTGGGATTCTTGAGAAAACCACAAATGTCTCCTTGTGTAAACACACTGGAAACTGAAGGTTGAGAAAATCATGTCAATGCACATACGCACACCACTGGCACAGTGAGCTCAGACGGACAGAATGCTGGCGGCAAGCAGACAGACTTCACAGGCAGCAAGAGATACCCCGTGCATGCACCCTGCTTGCTCCAGAATCCCTTTGAAATGGGGAAAAATAGTCACGGATTCATCTGTCACCTCCTCCCTTCCTGGCAGGAGCCAGATGGGCGGCCTGGAGATCCCTGCTTCTTCTCTGGTATACTCTGTGTTTTCTCCCTCATCTCTTAAAATTGTGTATGACAGAATTAATCCATTTGGACTCCCTATCTTTCGTGGAGCTCAGCGTTTTTATTCATGTGGGTGCCAGAGCTTTCTTAGAATAAAATACTGCATAAATTAATTCTTTAGAACTTAACAATTTCTTTCCCCCCACCCAACCATTCCTAACTATTCAGTCCAGCCAGCTGGCATACTCTCTGGGGATCAGCTAACATGTTACCCTCATCGGCCTCTAATCTCCTCCTAAGCCAGGAGTTGATTTCTCCTTTCACATACTACTTTTAATACACTTTTTTCTCTGTCTACATTGTGAGCACCTCTTTTGAGGGTGGGTTTAGGCATCTCTTCTTTTCTTTATTTGGCCTCACATCTTACACAGGACTGCACACAACGCCTCCTCAGGCACTTATGAATTAATAGTTGATGTGTTAATACAGGCAAGAATCCCAGCAACCCAGAGAAGCTCTTTCGGCACTACAAAGCCATGGCTGGGGACATCGGGAGAGCTGGTGCAGTCCCAGGCTGGCTCTCATTTGCCTTGCCCTCCTCACATCAGGGAAGCCATCTGGCGTCTGCACACTGGCTTGCAGGTGCTTGCCAAAGGCTTCTCCTGATTCAGGGCTAAGAAGTCCTTTGGACTAACGTTTAGTGTCGCGCAGTTCCCTTAAAAAGAGAGGGATGCAACCAACAGTCCCTATGGTTGGCTTACAAAGTTCCATTTAAAGACCCCATATGCAAATCTAGACCTTCTGCCAGGCAACACCTTTTGGTTCATCTTCCTCTCAGACCTGCTGATACAGAGGTTCTCTTCAATGACCTCCAAGTGTAACCGTCCAGACAGTTTGTTGGAGGATGGTCCTGGTGCACTTTCTTGTGAGAGTGGCTTTGTCCTTCCCACACACACGACATGGACACACTGACATGCTGGGCTCTTCTAAGTGTTGCCCAGTGACATCATGATTCAGCACTGCATGACGTCCCAGTACTGGTCAGACCCCAGGGAGGGGCTCCTTTGGAAGACGCGAGTTTGAGTCGCTACATGGCTTCTCTTGGCTTCTGAAAGACATGAGATTCCCCCGGGGATCAGGGGATGCTGCTTTTTGCAAGATCCCAGGTGATTGTTGGAACTTTTGTTCCTTGTGGGCGTGAAGCATGGAGTCTTTTCTCTGGCTAGTCTTCAAAGTAAGGTGGGGATGAGAAGAACGAGCTTTTCCGCTTGCTCCCGCTGTACATCAGGGAGACGCTTTTCTTCTTTCGGTCAAAGGAGGCGTTGTCATCGCTGGTCAGAGACAGGTAGGAGGCGATGCTTTCCCGCAAGCCATAACTGAAAAGGGACTCATCCACCCTGAGTGGGTTCTCTGCTCCCTCAGGGTCCTCCTGGAGTCTGCGAGTCAGAAGAAAGGGGGACAGAGGAAGGGGAAAAAGAGAGGGACATGGAGAAAGGAGGAGATGGAAGGAAAGAGAATGAGAAAAGGAAGCAAAAACAAAAAACCAAAGAGCCTGGTTAAGATTTCTCTAACTTACTGTTCTCATTCTGGTTCGTACATCTGTGGGCTATGTGATCTTGGACAAATCACTTAACCTCTCTGAACCACTGTTTTCTTGGATGGCAAAAACTTCCAACTGTAAATTTTAGTGAAAATGTCTTTATGTTACTTGCAAGGAAGAGCAGTTTTATTCATCTCCCAGGTAATTTTGATCTCTGATTTTCTTTGAATTTGACAATAGTATGCCTGGATTAATGTTTAATTATTAAGATAACCCACCAATCCCAAACTACAGATAGCCATTAAAAATTCAATAGCTGACAATGCAATAAAAAGAACAAATCAGTGGGAGATGTTTTTCCCTTAGAAAAACGAAAGTCACCCTAGAATCTTGCTGTTGTGTTTAATCTCTGTGAGTGGCTTTTAAATAATATTAAATTTATATAAGATGTGAGTTACTTTCTAGAATCCCGACAATCAGAAAATCAAGGTGGTATATTTCAGCTAGAAAATGTACTGGTCACATGGAATAGGGACTCAGTAGATGTTTGCAGAACCAGGGGACCGAGGGCTTGGCAGGGAGTCGCCATGTGCTTCATGAGGCCTGAGGCCTGACCCTGCCTTCCAGGGTCAGTGGGATTCCTGGGGTTCCACCTGCTTGGGGTGCCCATCCGCACATTTCAGCAGGGCCGGCTGACACTGTGCCAGGCTCACGCACTGCTTTGTGCTCACACGTTCATGGAGAACACACACAGACACACACAGACACACACCTGGACACCCTCTTCCAGTCCACAGGCTTCTGGCGCAAGGTGACAGGCGAGCTGGAGGCCCTCACTGCTGGGGCAGCCGTGCTTTGTGTCAGGCAGGGCGTGGTGAGCACACAGCACAGGCCATCAGCCACCTCTGAGGAGGGAAGCAGAGAGCGGATCAGGGACTCTGGGGACGCTCAGCTGGCGTAGAGGGCAGGCCTGAGATATAGCTCCCTGGTTGTTGCCAAGGGGAAAGTGAGCCCAAGATCTGAAACCCTGAGAAAATGTTAATGTGCCCCAATATGCTCTGCAGTTAGCAAGGCACACGTAGGGAATCTAGAATCTAGAATCAACCAAACTTGGGTTTGAATTTCAGCTTTGCCCCGATAGTAAGTTACCTTGAACCTCTTTGCGCCTTGCTTCCCTCGATTGCAAAATAAGAGGTAACAAGTGATGCCCACATGAGGCCACAGCCTTCAAAGGTTTCCCACTGAGGCACAAGCCCGTTAACATCACGGGGTGGGCTCCTGTGTTCAGGAATGGGGCTGTGTGCAACGCCAGCTCCCCCCAAATACACAGAATAGCACGCAGTGCAGCACGGGGCTGATGCATTTGCAGCAAGAAAGGAAGATAAAAGAAATGGAGGGAAGAAAGGGAGGGAGGGAAGAGAGAGAAGTAGGAAAAGGCAAGGTGGGAGACAGGTAGACGGAGGGAGGGGGAGGGAGGGAGGGAGGAAGTGAAGAAAGCACAAAAAGCATAAAAGACACAGGAAGGGAGGAAGGAGAAAAACAAAGATAAAGGGCAAGAGAGAGAAAGTACACAAAGAAAGAAGGAAGGGACATTTCTCTTCTACTCTAGATAGCCACACCTGAAGAGAATGAAAATTAAACAAACCCGTTTCTTATTTTCCCCTGGTGAATACGCAATCTCCGCGCTCCCAGGTGCCCTCATCTTCCCAGGCGCGTTAAGATGTGCCCCCACCTCCTGAAGCCCTCCCCAGCCCATGCCACCGGGACAAAGTTGTGATTCTGCTGTCCCTGGGTATCTTAGAGACTGAGGAAATGCTGGGCAGCCTTACTCAGGCTGAGGATCCCTGTGCTTCTCCTGTGCCAGGGGAGACAGAGTGGCCGGGGACGCCAGGGGCTGCTGGGGTCCAGCAGGACTGAGCCATCCCCGCCCAGAGCTGACGCATGGCCAGGGTCCAGGAAGCACACCACACCTCCCTCCGGCAGGCCCCACCTCCCATCTGGTTAGGGAGGTCTCTGCTGGCAAGGGTGTCCTTGCCCAAGGACAAAAGGAAACTGTAGCTGAAGCAGCACCCCTAGCCTCTCACGGGGGGCAATCAGCAGCGCCTCGTTTCGTGGTGTTCAGTCTGACTTTCACTGTGAACTCAAACGTCCACCCACACGTGCCCTTGGAGAGATGGGAGGTGGGACCATGAGGTGAGGGGCAAGCTTAATTGGATGTGAATCTAAAATAATGACCTGTCATGGGTTGGAAATTGAAATGACCTCCCGGGTTATGAGGCCAGGAAGTCGGATCAGATGCAAATACTAGAGAAACCAGCTGAAGTCTACAGCTCAGGCAGGGACACTTTGCAAATGTTCTTCCTTAGAGAGGAAGAACGTAATAGTTAGGGTGAAAAATACATTTTGGTGAAGAGCAAAGGAATGAACGTTTGTACGCACGTACCTTGAGCCTGCCGCTCAGCTAGCCTCACTCACTTTGTCTCGTGGAGGCTCCACATCCACTTTGTGTGGTCAGTGTTCTCATGCCCATTTTAGGGATGAGGAAACTGAGAATCCCAGGGCTAAGTTGCTTGCTCAGAGCTACAGAGATGTGACCAAAGCCAATCTCATTGACTCATTCCAAAAGCAACTCACTGCCTCTTAAATGGGGAAGAAAAACATCCTATGGCTGTCTCCAGGGTCTGGGTACACTGATCTAATTCACCCTCACCTACGCAACTGGCCAAATGCTCATTCCTCCTGCACACTTACGCTCTGACAACTCTACATTCAAGGGTTCTGTTCCCCATCCCTCTATTTCCCTAGCCATCATCTAGAACTCATTTGTGCCCTCCCCACACCCCATTCTCTCATTAACCACCATGCATGGAGTACTTTAGGTGCCAAATTTTTCACAAGCATAATTTTTTTTTTTTTTGGTTCTAACAACAAGAAGATAGTTGCATTTTAATCTCCAGGGTGTTAGGTAGTGTGCCCAAAGGCACCAGGATAATAACTGTAAGCAACCTGTAAAACACAGAGCCCCAGGACACAATTCCTATTCTGTGCCTTTAGGAGGAAGCTAGTGGGAGGGAAAAGGGGCTGTGTTGTTTCAGCTTTGGGATTTTAAAGGGGCACAGAGAACATCTTAGGTTTTCAGACCCTTTTCAGTGTTTCACGGAGATGAACTGATGACTGCAGCCCACTGGGTGCGGCAATGGCCAGGAACATGTTTCCGGAAGGTGCGCGTTCTGCCCTAGTGTGAGAGCCTCCCAGAGGTCACGCGGCACCAGGTGGACTTGGGTGTTCCTGGCCTGGTAGCCTCGTGGCCTCTTGTCCCTTAAGAGATTTGCTGGGGCAACACCCTTTTCATGTTTGCTTTTGTCTATGCAAAACGTATGGTCTCCACACCCCTCAGATGATTGTTATTAAAAGCCAAATACCACAACCAATATTTACTCATTAGCAGTGTAAGTTGGCTGTTTCCAGGACTCCCTTCCTCTTTCATTTTCAGCTAGCTGCTGCATTTTCTGGTATCACAGAAGTAATGTTTGTTATTTATTTTGCATCTGCTATGTGACAGTCTGTGCTAAACACATCACAGAGCGATCACTCATTTGACCCCCTGCTAGGGGGCCTTTCTTACCCACCTCCTATGAATGGGGAACCCCGGCTCTGAGAGGTGGAGGACTGGCCCAAGTCTCACATCATGCAGATCCAAGCTTGGGTCTCCTTCATGCCCTGCTGCTTTCTCATGGGCCGGCTGTTATCACTGCAGGCCATGGGGACTCCTTTCTTTTTGAAATAACCTTTGCTTCTTCAGTTCAAGGCACCTTATCCTACAGAATCCTAGCCAAGTTGCCCAGGGCATGAGGTCAAGCATCCTGAACCCGGAAGCGGGAAGATGTTAACAAAGCAAAAGCAGCTTCTCCTTTACCTGCTTCCAACACGGCACAGGAAGCAGGGAAGAGGGCTGCATTCTGCCTGAGTAACGGGGGCTGATATTTAGTAGGGGCTCGCGGTTTGTGCCAGGCACTCTTCTCCCTGCTGTCTGTGTGCTAACTCCCTGAATCCTCATGATGTCCCAGAGAGGTAGGGACTATTAGTATCTGCATGACACAGATGAAGAAAGTGAGGCCCTAAGGTGCGAATAACCAGCCTGAGGTTGCCCAGCCAACAGTGAGAGGATCTGGGACACAAATGCAGATGTCCCAGAGCCAACTTTCAGAAATTTGCCAACCTTTTACAATTCCTCCCTTTTCCACAGAGTAAAGTTCCAGCCCCTGATCTCACATTCAGGCCTTTCACAGTCTAACTGAACCTTCTCTCTCCTGACTCCACCTTAAACCAAGCTACGGTTCCGCCACCTCGGAGGATTGCTCTCTATCTGGGTCGGCCTAGGAGTGTTTGGACCTCTCTCCTGGGTCCAGGAAAGATGCACAAATGAATAAAATACAATCCTCAGGCTTTAGGAGCTCATCAGGAAACACAGACTAGTACAAAATTAACTAGGCCACCTGGCAGAAGAATTAGAATGCTGGGGACAGAAATACCTGGCATGCTCAGGGTAACTCCTTCTACTCCTACGGCTCCATCACAGAGTTGGGTTGATGTTGGCTTTGAAGGCTCAAGAGACTTTTGACAAGCCGAAAGGGAGAAACGAGTGGCATTTTAGGACAAAGCCCTAGAAGCTCAAAAATGTACAGCCCCACTCAAGGAAGTGCCCCCTGTTTGTGGTTGTGAATATAGGGGCACCCCAGTTGATCTTATTTCCACGTAGAGAGGGCAGATTTGAGATGAGCTGCCTTTTGCTTACTAAGGCAGCATTCTCGGACAGTCTGTTTCAGCCTGAGATTTGCAGTCGGGATTAGCGAGAAGAGAGCGTATCAGGAAGGCAGCATGGGCGGAAAGTGAGAGCAGAGCGCTGGCATTTACTGGTGACTCACACCACTTCCCGGACGGATGGCGCCACAGGCACTTAGCTAAGGGGGGATCCTCAACCACAATTGACCCCGAGTGTTTCTTACCAGAATAGTGATTGACCAGGTCCTCCAGGCACTGGAAGGTGAGCCGCGGGGAGATGTAGTACCAGTTGTTCGGTAGGCGGAAGATGCGGTAATGCTTCACCTGCCTGTGCCTCACCGACAGCGAATAAAACCCTGCGGAGGTGGAGACAGGTCAGTGGTGTTCCTCGTGTCCCCACTGCCAGCGGTGGCCATGAGCTAGCCAGCCCACCACCACGGAAGCAGAGAGATCTGCTCACCCTTGGGACACAGTGACCATGCTGGGACATGGCCCTCCCACCGCCAGGACCCTCTCTGTTGAGACGTGGCTCCCCGTTTAGCAACCACAAGTGTGTTATTTCAGCAACCCAGAAGTACTGATTGCATCGTCATTACGGGTCTTCAGGTGCGCTGGCCTGGTCCTCTTTGCTTTTCGAGGTAAATATATGGGCGCTTCCACATCCTTTTGTGACTCCTGAGGCCAAAGTGAATGATTACAGTTTGGTCGTAACCTGTAGATTCAGGACCTGAGATCGTTCTTGACTCCTTCCCGAGGACTCTAAGATATTTTTCTTCTTCAGCCCCAGCCCCCAGAGTGGCCACACCACACCTTTGGGGGGCCTTACAGTTATGCCCCCCTTCCTGGTCCCTACACCCTCTGACTTATGCTTGGTTCTCTTAGAAAGTTGGAGCACTGGAGACATTTTTCTGGGTATCCTTAAGAAACACATGAGGGGTGTATTTCTCCATATGCATCATTAGAGTCATGACCCATCTGGGTTGGTAAGAGGGGCAGCTCGGGCATGTGCTTCTATTTCCCCAAACGGCAAGTGAGAAAACTACAGTTAGGTCACGTTTGAGGGTCCTCCCTGTTCTGTCTTCTGGGGTCCTAGGAGGGAAAAGTGCTGAAAGGTGGTGAGAGGGGAAAGGGAGCTGGCATTTAGTGAGTGCTTGCTGTCTGTGTGGGCAGGGGGCTGAGCTACTTCCAAGCGACATCTCTGCTAATTCTCAGAAAGGCCCTGGCAGGTATTGGCTGCAAGTGTTTCGTAGATGGAGAAAGGGAGGCTCAGAGCCTCCGGGGGATGTGGCCAGAGGCACAGGGCTTGGGAACAGCTGCCCTGGGGTGTGAACCTTGTCCTCAGCAGGCCCCTTGGGTCAACCTGGCGGTGTGCACCTTCCCGTAAGGTCAACGGGAACTGGGAGTGTGGTGAGCAGGTCAAGAGTAGCAAGTGGAAACTCATCAGAACTTTGCATGCCCAAGGGAGGGAGCTCGCCACGCCCGCCCCACCCTGGCGCGACTGCAGCGCCTCCCGACAGCATCTGTATTTTAAGTGAGTGGTGGCACCTATGCCGTGTTCTTCCCCAGGACCAGGCCAGCTCAGGAGCCTCCATCTGGGTCTGGGTGTCCTCCCCCAGGGGACCCCAGGCCATGCACAGGATGTTTTGTCTCTGCTTTGATCTTGCTCTCCCTAGCACATTTGGGTTTTTGAGGGAAAGGTTGTTCTTTTTTTCTGTCATATATACATATGGCCTCTGCTCCCCCAAAGCTAGGATGGTGCCCATTTTGGTGAAGGGCTCCAGCGCTAGGGAGCTCTAGCATTTAATAGGTGCATGGAAAATACTCTCAGATACTGTGTTTTGTCATCTTTGATAGCGAGTGTACAAGAAGCAGGCTAAGAATTTGAAGGTATGTTCTATATTTTAAAAGTTATTATTATTTAGTCTGAAAAAGTTTCAGCTGTTAAGTGTTTTGCTCCTGTGAATTTAAGCACTTGCTATATCTCAGACATGGAACTAAGTGCTTTCTTGTCGTTATCATAGATAAGGGAGCTGAGACTTAGAGAGAAGAGGTCGCTTCTTGGGAATTCATAAGGCTGAAGCTAGAATTTGGGACCCTTGCTCTGAACCATGACAAATAGCCCCTGTTATTTGTGAATTAGTGTATAAGATGCAAGGAAATTATAATAAAGATCATGGTGAGTACGTGAGAACATACACCTGCTTGCCCTGATCCTCTGAGCTGTCTAGTCTAATTGCAGGGCACAGAGGAACTGATATCGGGGCCTCCCGCGTTGCAAGAACACTACAAATATCATCACATTTGAATCTCACCACAACCTTGCAAGGGAGGGGTTTTCTCTCGATTTCACAGATGAGAAAACTGAGCTCGGGGAAGTCACTCACAAAGCTTGAGAGCCCAGGCTGGGCCTGCAGCAAAGCCCACGTCCTGTCTGCCCAGCACGCTGCCAGCACTTGGCTTTCAGTTTCCTGCCCAGTTGATGGAACATTTTCCAGCAGGAGTCAGCGGGGTCGATAGTGGCCAGGCCTGCGGCAGTGCCCTGCTGGGTCACCACGGCCTGTCGCCAGTCCCTTTGTTTTCATGCTGGCCTCATTGGCAGTGTGTGGGCTGCAGGGAGCTAACCACATCGGATCGATTTGCCGGCGTGTAGGAGGAGGGAAAACGAAGCCACGTAATGAGTCAGCCAGGGACAAAACCTGTCTGTCCCACCCGAGCGTGGAAAGATGAGTCGGAGGCCACTCACCTTTCTTTGTCTCGCTCTCTCTGATCATGAAGGAGCCAACTTTCGTGTCTGGCAGCTGCAGCAGTTCCTCCGCCTTGTCTCTGCCCAGGCCTTCAAACAGCCAGCTGGGGAGTAGGAAGACAGCCGTAAGCATCCTGAGTGTGCCCTCCCCCACAAAAGGCGGAAATGCAAACGCTAGGATGCACTTAATGTAAAAAAGAATATAAAACTAAGATCCAGTTAACATAAAGCTGCTGGAGTTAAAAGAGGGGGGCAATTGGCTGTTTGCTCATGCATTCATTCATATTTTTAATCTTTCAGATAAAATTTCCTGAGTACCTGTTAGATGCCAGGTGTTGCATTGGACTGTGACACAAGGATGCATGAGATCTAATTACCCCAACTAGAATGTGTCCTTGCCACCTTAGGTAATATATATGCACTGTACAACCTCACAGTGTTTCGCGTGTGTCTCCCTTCCACTCCACCCGCCAGGCCCCTCCCACACAGCTCTCCGAGGGCAGGGACTGGGTCTGTCTCGTTGAGTTTCACCTCTGTGTCCAGAGTATCATGCTTGGTATACATATGAGAATGAATGAATAGACACAGGAGAGAAGGTAAGGAGTAGTGGAACTTGATTTCCTCAACCTGACAAGCCCCACTTTGTATTCATTATATTTCCTTCTCATCTTCTCTATTTTAATACATGTTAAACACATTGTCATTGTGCTATACATTCACATGTGTTTTGTGTCCTTTCCACTTAGCAGTAAGGAAAAGCAGTCGTGGTGCTGTAGCCCTACTGCAGCCCGGTTTTACAGTAGAAGCTTCACCTTGCACAGGAGAGCAAGCACTTTTCAGTGCTGTTCGAAAGCTGCTCTGCACACAAAGGCATCTGCATCCTATGGGAAAGGGCCCCTACTCATTTTCCAGATCTCAGTTTGGAAGGAAACACTCTGTTAGCAGTTGGCTGGTGTGTACTTGGAAGCAATTGCCCCTCGCTTTTTAACACTCTGTGTTTCAGTGAGTAGACCCTGGCTTTTAATCCATAGGTCCAAGTTATCGTGTGCTCTGGCAAATACCAATATTTTACTATTTCGCAGGCTTTAACATTCACCGAGGGTGCACGAGCAGGTTGTTGAAGCAGGCCCGCTGGGTGCTCCTGAGGCACCGTGTGTGCGAAGACTCATGGGCGTAACATCAGATTCTGTCTATTTATGTCCTGGTTGCTAGATCACTTTTGCTGTTTAGGAAAATGATTATGCCATATTTGGCCAAGTATTTCAATGATTCCCTTCATTCTGCACCAAGCATGCCATATAAATTATTTTGGTGTATGTGACAAACATTTTCATGCATTCCAGTCCTTACATGAAGTTCTGCTTATAAAGATGAAGACAATGAAACAGTAAGGACAGCCATATATGAGTCCTAATTAGGGGCAACCCATCATATTAAGCACTTGAAATCTAATCCTCATCTCAACCCCCTAAGACAGGTAATACTGTCTCTCTTTCACAGATGAGGATACTGAAGGTCTGAGTGATTATGTAATTTGTTCAAGTCACCGTGTCAGCAATTGATAGGGCTAAAATGAGAATGCATTTTTCTGATACATTCACTTCCATAACCACTATACTTCACTATTTCTCTTCCTACTGGATATGTTAAGGAATTTTATTGCATCTGCTAGCCTGGTTGCCCCACTGGGTCATAATTATGCTACATCTCTGGGTTCCTCCCCACCCCCAGCTCTTGGCAGCTGAAGCTCCACGTCTTCAACATGAAGGCATCGATGCACGTTTACTAATGAATGAACTGAATGGACCCAGGGCAAGCAGCTGGCGCAGGAGGGAGAGCCACGTGACTCACACAGCAGCTGCTGCTCCACTGTTGTTCACCTTTGCCATCCTAAGCATGGCAATGATTTCTAGTATTCATAATTACGATCGTTGATACTGAAATTAAATGCACTGAATTCTAGCGTTCAGAGTTTTCAGGTAGTTATCTGTGCCTCCCCAGGCCAGCATGTGGCCTGCGTTTCTCTGGATGCAAAGTCGTTATTGAACATTAAAGAGGTGGTGTTCCCTTCCTTCCTCCTCGCTATGTCCCTGATGCTACGCATTTCTTTGCCGATGTCTGGCCTTGCTAGCTTGACAGATGAGGAGACTGCAGCTTAAGGAGGTTGAGGAACTTTTCTGAGGCTCTTACTTGGAAGGAGGAGAGCCAAGATCTGAGCCCACCTGTGCCACACTCCAAAGCCACCTGGCCTCACCTGCCTGAGTAGGAGTGAGCAATGCACTGTTTTCTCACCTGCCAAGGCTGAGTTTTTTAAGTTTCTCCTTTTCCTTTTCTCATCCATTTGTCAAGTTGGGTACATAGGCATTTCTGGCAGTAAGCGTTCTCTGGGTGCTTCTGGATGTGTACTTGATAAGATCGTAGCTGGTACTTATCACGTGCTTACTGCAATGCCTGGCATCGCTCCAGGAACCATACGTGTGTTATCCCATTTTATTCTCCTGACAGCCCTGTGCTTTGGGCCGTGTTATTATGTCATTTCCCTGTCATTCTATAGTGTGATCGCTATCTGACAGGTGAGGAAAAAACACTCATGCATAGAAGTCTGAGTAGCTTGTCCACTGTCACATAGCCAGTAAGTGACAGAGGCAGGAGCCCAGACAGACTGACTTTTAGCCACTGCACTGCTGCACCCTATGATCCTTGTTCCTGAGTGTTTACTGTTCTGTGCCAGGAACACCGTGTTAGGTCTGAGAGGTCCAATTTCTTTCCTTTTCCTGATGGAGAAATCAAGTCCCAGAGAGCAGAGGGGTTCATCAGCCCATGGTCACACCTTTCCTTATTGCCTGAGTAGGGAACAGGAGCGTCCCCTCTTGGCCCAATGCCTGCCCTCCCACAACACCAGCTTATGAGTCACCAGCGTGAATATCATACTTTATCGATTCTATTTGAGAAATGTACTTACCCGTGGTAAACTCTGGCCACACATATCCCAGGAATATAACTCTCTCGACCAGTGCTAAGAGAGATGGCTTTCCACCAGCCACCTTCACTGCAAGAACAGGAACAGAGAGGGATGGTAGGTGAATGGCAAAGCAGAGGGATGAACGGAATCACCAGATGGAACCCACACCCGGCAGGTTGAGATACTCCCCTTTTAAGCTCTGTCACTGGCTGGGTTGACCCAAATTTCTGCCTCCGAGAATTAGTTTTTAAAGTATGTATACCCAGTGGTTATCCCCTACTCCAAGCCAACTGGTATCTTCTCATATGCTGCCAGTAGCTACCTTTCATGGGTCAGCAGCTGATGTTCCCAACTGATGTTCTATTGTTGGGAGACTTTTAAAAAAAAAAATGTTTACTAGATTGATTTGTACCCTGTAATATATCTAAAGACAGTCTCATGTGTCTACATCAATGAGGATCCAAATAAAAGTGGCTTCGAGCTCCTGTCTTGTTCTATAGCCCATATTGAATCCTACTGGAGGCAAGAGGAGAGAAGGTGATACTTTTTGTTTATCATCAGAAGAGTTTTCAGACCCTGGTCTTCCTTCCCAGCTTTCATTGCCGTACATCGACACTGCATGTGTGGTGGGCCAGGAGGCCAATGTGAGCAGACGGATCACAAAGGGTCTCAAAAACCAAGTCAAGGAATTGAAATTTTAGCTACCTGGCAGTAGGGAGCCATGGAAGGTATTAGAGTACTGGCCACATTAAAGAGGAGAGTCACAGTATAGGCCCAATTCCTCACCTCCCGATAGGACCAGGGTGCATGTGGAGCTAAATAACTATAGCTAAAAATCTAATAATTACTGCTGAAACTGAGTTCATCCTCTTTTGAGGATTGTAAAAGTGTTGGAAAGCTAACTCACTCCGAAATGATGCGCAGTTTCTCCCCTCGGCGGAATATAGGGGGGCTGATGTCAGGAGACGGGTAATCACTCAGCACAGCGAGGAAGTCGCTATCCAGCCCTGAGGAGACAAAGGCAAAGGGGTGTTTTTATTCACAAGGAACCTAAACGCAGCCCAGGGAAGGGAGGGTGCAAAAGTGAGTTGCTCTTGGGCCTTTTTCAGCCGGAGATGCCTCACTTGTTTTGAAACACTGTTCACCTCAGCCCTCCTCTCTGCAGAGATGGTGTGTAGGTGCTGGAGGAACCCTGAGGGGCAGGTGATAGACTCCTTTTCTCAAGCCTGCCTTGGCCCTGATGTTCTCATCTGAGAAGTGGGCATCCTGAGGCCTGTGAGCTGAAGTCACAGGATTCTGCAAGTACAGCTCACTATAGAGTGGAAATGTGATTAGGTGTGAGTTTGCCTTTCAACACTACGTGATAACTCTGTTTTATGTCTTTAGCGATTTGACATATTAATAATTCAGGTGCATTAGATGCAGGGTAATATTCAGGTACATTTTGGGGGACATAATAACATATTTTATAAAGTCAGCAAACATAGTAATTGTTTGCTACGATGTTTATCACTCCACCTGCTGGCTGGGCTTCTGGCCTCAAAATCTGGGTAACATGTCACCTATTCATGCCTTCAGCAACTATTTCCTGAGCACCTACCACAAGCCTGGTGTTGGTGAGCAAAGCAAGCCCAGTCTTGCTGCTCTAATGGAGGTCACATTCCAGAGACTACATATATCATCATGGGAGAAGTCATTCCCTGGTCCCCTCACCCCAGGAAAACCTGGAGAAATCCCAGCACTCAGGCATGTGGGCTTGGGGGCCCAAACAGGCCACTTTCTAGGATCCAGACACCCCCATGTTGGAGGGTCCAGACCTCCAGAGCCCGCCTTTTCCAACTCATATGCCCTGCAGTCTGACTCAGAAGTCTCTTGGACAGACTAAGTCTAAAGGGAAATTAAGGACTAGAATAAGTAAGAAAGATGAATGAGGTTTTGGTAAAGGGTTTGATTGTCAATTGATAAATGAATCAGAACCAAGTCGTCACAGTGGGATGGTGCACTCACATATATTGTTCACTTGGGGAAGCTGAGTCACAGACAACAAGCCACGTAAAAGCAAGAGTTGGGTGTGAGATGAAAACCAAAGGTGATCTTTGGTGACCTTATGAGTCTTAGAAAGGTGTCAGAGCTTCTAAGAAATATTAATAGCCATGTCGGGCCACGGAAGCCTGAGCTGGCCAGGCTGCTGACCTGTCCTACCACAGACCTTCCCCCAAGCCTGCTGGGGGATCTCCCTCACACTCTGCTTTGCTCAATTAAAAACAAAAAGTGTGAGGGGGGGATTCTTCCATTGTGTAACCCAGACCCTACCCCAAAAGTTAGAGGAAGCATTAAAGTCGAGTTGGGTTTGAAGCCAGAAGTCCCAAGTTCTAATAAGGGGTGGGTCCGACTTGGTGAGGCATGAAGCATATGCAAATGCTCGTTAAGGTCCTCATTAAGAAAAAGAGTATGAAATTGTAGATACAAAATGAGGTACAGACCCTAGGAAGGTGCTTTGTTTAGCTTCCCGGCAAGTCTGCCCAGACGCTGAGGCTGACCCTACCACTCACTGCGCGTGGACGAGTCCCTCCCCTCTTGGGCCTGGGTTTCCTACTCTGGAAAAAGAGGGATAGGAAAACGCCCTCATGATGGAAATCTGTTCTTCCTTGACGAATGGCCCCGACTATGAAAGGGCCATTTACTAACATGCACTGCCTCAGCTAAGTGTGACGGGACTTTCTCAAACTTGCCAGCCTCCCTGGTCCTCAGCGCCTCTGAGCAGGCTGTTCTGTCTGCCTGGGACACATCAGCTCTCCCCTGCCGCAGCCCTCCTGCCTCCATCAACTCCAAAGTCCCCTCCCCAGAGGCCCCAGAGGAGGCCCTGCTGCTATGCCAATCACAGTCTCAGCCTCTAAGATTCTCCCGGGAGGCAACTACCCCAGATGTGTTTTCCCATCTGTGTGACCGTGAAGGGAATGTCCGTCTCCCTGCCTGGCTGTGAGCTCAGGGAGGGCAGAACTTGCGTCTTCCCTGTCTTAAACCTCTGTGCTGTGCCTGTTCCCACGCAGGTGCTCAAAGCATGATTATCGAACATCAGTGTGGCGTGGTCCCTGTGCCCATAAACACAGCCATCCCCCTGCCTTTCTAAAGCAATCCAGCCAGAAGGAAACCTGATTTGTGGGAGGCCGTCATGGAACCAGCCCCTCGTGAAAAACGAGTGCTGAAACGAGAGGCACAGCTGTGTTACCTGTGACAGTGATAGAACCTTGAGAAGACTGTGTGTCTATGGAGGGTTTGGGGGTTGATGTCTCACTCAAGGTTAAGACTGTGAAACCAAACAACCGTCTTTCATAACGTTAAAACGAACAGAAACAAAAACAAAAGCAAAATCCCATTATAAAAACAATTGTTCCAATGAGGGAGAAGGGGGCTTAACTGGGTGGAGAGTTTCCATTCACAATAACAAAGTTAAGTTTCCTGTGGAATTTCCATAATAGTGATGTTTTCATAGCAGTAACGTTTAAACGCCACTGAGGACATTTTGCATGTGGGCTTCTGCTTGAGGGTCTGATGACTTGTGCCTGGTCCCTTGCAAGGGTTTTTACCTGCGTCCCTGTCGCCCTAATCATCAGTGTTAGAAACTTGCAGTTTGTTGTGAACTTGTGTGGAGAAGGGCAGCCGTGCTAGGCAAGGTCAGTGCCAGGATTCCTTCCCAGTCTTTCTTGCCTGAGCTTTGGCCCCTACAGTGAAATAAATGCAACGTAGGAGATTGAAGTTTGCTTATAAAGTTGAAACATATTGTCTTGTGCTCCGGAGCTCCTTGGCTTTCTGAAGAGCTCAGCATTTGAATTCAATCAGCTAAATGAGTGAGGCAGGGAAGAGGAGAGCGGAGGAAGTAGACGGGATTATTGCAGATTTAAAATAAGGACGTGAGTTAAGTAAAGACACGTGTGCCGCCCATGAAAGGAGGAATCCTGAGTGAATTTTTAGAAGATCCTTATGGAACGAGAACGGGCTTTGAAATCAGTCAGACCTGGCTTAAATTCCACTCCACCGCTTAACAGTGCTGTGATGTGAAGAGAGATTTGTTTTTAACGAATCTGACCTTGATTTCTTCGTGTATTAGGATGGGAAATATAAAAATCTGCCCCCTATGATTGGGTTAAGGATTCATGATACATCCTGTGTGTAGGGCCGGCCTCAGTAAGCAGCAGCTGATTTCATTTTCATGAGGGGTGGGGTTACTATGCCATAATCCAAGACCAATTTCAGCCAATAATATTCTAAATTTTGAAAACTAGCAGTGTACATTTGAAAATATCATCTTCTTACTGTCTAAAAACAAACTCCATTTGGTGAGAACAGAAGATGAAATACCAAAGACCAAATATTTGCTGACAGCCCAACTCAAGAACGAGTCAGGTTGAACAAAATGTATAAAAATGTAAAACAGGAAGTGAGTCCAAAAACGGAAGGGGACCCAGGCAGGACTTACTGAAGTTGGTCAAAAGAGGATGGGGCCTTTCTGCATTGTCATTCCTTGGAGCATCATGACCATGTATTTTTAAATGCTGAAAACATTCTCAGCAGCTCCCACTTGTAACTGTCTAGCAAAACTCATCATTCCTTACTTCCAACGCTCTGCCCAGGCCTACAGAAGATAAATGATTATTTAAAGTGTGAAGGAATGAGAGCTAGGGCAGTTTTAGTGATGTGTCCGGGAGACCGCATAAGGATTTCAAAGCCCATGGTCGTTTCACTGAGACTCATCGCTCTCTGTGGCACTTAATTCCCAGGCTCCCCCGCCCCATCCAGTTAACACTTGACCCTTGGCAGGATCAACAAAGGCTGACTCCACACTAGCAGCTCAGAGCAGCCGGGGGCGAGGAGCTAAACAGCCCAGTGATTTCAGCTCCTGTTCTTGCATTCCCTGGAGTCGTGCCCAAACTCATGGCCTCCTGGAGGTGTCAAAGCAGGTCTGACCTTTAGTATCTCTTTTGGGAAACACACACACACACACACACACACACATGCACACACACACACACAACGAACCAATCACACGGAGCTGGGCAGGCCAGCCTGATAGAAGGTCATCATGAACCATGAGGTCCGTGGGTCCTCTTATTCATATGTGAAGGGTTGGACGGTGAGGCCCACTAGTCCAGAAAGCTCTTTTCTGCCCAAAGCCTTGTTTTCTCTGCGTGTTAGTGGGAGCGGATTGGAACTAAATAGACCCTCAGTTTTTTCAGGGTCAGTTTCAACACTCTTAGCTGCTACGGGGACTCAGGTGGAGCTAGCACCGAGCAGAAGCAGGAAATAGTCAAAACAAATCTTCTGGGCTCCGTAGACTTCAGTCTTTTTCATTCCACTTTCTCTGCCTTCTCGTCGTCACCAGCAGCAGCAGGGCGCACGCTTCTGGGGCAGCCAGGCCCTGGGCTGTGTGCTGTGCACACTTTACCCGTCTAGACCCTACACCTTCCCGTGAAGGCGACGCACTGTAACTGCCTTACTGTGAGTATGAGGATGTAGACACACAGCAAGGTCCAGAGACTTGCCCAAGAGCACACAACTAGTGGGCGTAGCGCCGGGTTCCAAAACTAGGGCACCCCGGGCAGAGCATGCACCTGCGCTCTGGGCCACGACTCTCCTTTGTCACGGTCGAGTACCCCCTGTGCTACCAGTTGCTTAATAGCATTTTCCTTAATATTATTTCACTTAGAAAAAACTTCTTGTGCTATTCTAAGCAATGTAAAAATAATGGATTTGTTGAGCCAGTTATATTTTTTATGACGTCGATTAAGCGTACAACGATATAAAAGCTGAATGATGATGTTGCACCTAAAACCATCTCAGGTACCAGCAGCGAGGTGAGTAAGACCCGAATAGGAAACGAGGGTCTGGTCACAGGTCTGCCACAGGGTCCTAGCGTATGAACCCCTCGCAAGGGCACTCGAGTGTCTGCGTGATTAGATCGGGTGGCCAAGCACGTGATCCCTCGTGTACCCTCGGTCTAGAGAAAACCCATCCTCCCTCAGGACATGTTGGCTTCTTGAAAGTGCATCCTCTCCACGCATAGACTGTGGTGGAGACAGAGGGGCTCTGGACTCAGGCAGCCACCTGGCTTTGAATCTCAGCTGTCCCCTCTGAGCTGTATGGCCTTGTGCCTCAGTTTCCTCAACTATAAAATGGAGATGATAACAGGGACTACCCTGTGGAGCTGTTGCGAGAATTAAGAGTTCATGCGTGTAAAGCGTGTGGAGTTATGTCTGGCCCACTGTGAGCGCCAAGTGACTCACCAAGTGAACAGAGAGATGCTAAGGAGACACACTCATTTCTCACTTCTCGTGTGTTAGTGCAGAGGCAGGACTGAAACCTGGTCTGTGGTCTGCAAGCTTTTAGCGGCTTAAGATTTACCAGGAACTTGTAAGAAATTCAGCTGGTTGCTACCCACCATCCCTGGGTTCCGATTAGTAGGTCTAGGCAGGGCCTAGGAATCTGCATTTTAACTACTAACCTGGGGATTCCGAGGCAGGTGATCTGAGGACTGAGAAGCTACAAGCTGGGCCATGAGACTTCCCTGCCCTCTTCTTCCTCTCCTGAGCATCTCTCACCCACTTCATCCCCCTGGGGCAGCTATGGAAATGCACTGCCTGGAGTGCAGTGCCTGTCTTGGGTTTGCATTGCCACCTCTGTCAAAAAGTGACATCTCACTTGAGGTCCAGTGATAAGAAGGGAAGAAACGGAAGGGGGTAAGATCACAGCAGAGCAACTGAATTCTCTGTTTAAGGTGGGAATATGCTGTTTTCCGCCACACTGGAAGTGCCCCAGGTCTTATTCAGTTCTGTACTGCCCATGTCTGGCACAGAAGTTTAGAATTGCACTGAAGATCAACTATTTGGGATGATTTAGAAATAAGTCATGGAATTGCCAATTCTACTGCTTTAAAACTTTTGGGGAATGGCCATGTGGATACAGCCCTGTGCAGTCAGAGGAGCCCAGGTGGAGTTTTCCAAAGTTTGCACACCCTGCTTCGTCAGGTAGCTACTTTGTGCCCTGCTGTTGCTGAGAGGGAAGGACTGTCCTGATCCCCGGTTTACAGCGAGTCCCTGGCAGGGGCTGACTTACCTGGAGTCACACATCTTCCAAGGGACATTACCAGGAGCTCAATCGGGGTCTGTTGCCTCTGAAACTTGCCCTGTTTCTACCAAGGCCTCCTTCCTCTGTGGATTTTATGACATTAGTCTCTTGGAACTAGACTAATGAGGAATGTTCTAGAAAGTTTAGTTTAGGAGAAAACAGTTGAGCAAAGCCACGTTCTAAGGCATCACCAGTCCTGGTCTAGGGGAAGAATGATCTCCCGAAAGCTCAGAAAACTTGTCTGTCTGAAAGTCCACACGTGGGGCTTGGTGCCTTGAGCTCTCTGCCCGACTCAGGTGAACGTCGGAGGAGGCTCTCATTGCGTGTGGGCCTAAAGCCATCAGCAGGGCCCACACTGCCTCCCATGTTGCTCCTTTGAGACCAGCTGAAGGAGTAACCATGAGGAGCTTTGGCTGGGCAGGAGCCCATTCTGTGAAAGCCTAACCCTTCACATCAGGCAGACAGGGGCTAATCAATGCAGCATCAGCCATACCACCATCTCCCTTATTCACAGTGGTCCCCAACCTTTTTGGCACCAGGGACCATTTTTATGGAAGACAGTTTTTCCACAGACAAGAGAGTGGGGAGATGGTTTCAGGATGATTCAAGCACATCACATTTATTGTGCACTTCATTTCTATTACAATTACATTGTAATAAAAATGAAATAATTATACAACTCACCATAGGTTGGGGACCCCTGCTTATTCAAATAGGCATGAGAGAAAAGAGGAAATAAAGTTAGGACCCATGATAAGGGAAACTTTCTAGAGGTGGGGGGTGGAAAAGCGACCCACCAGTGCTTGATGTGGTTGCCTGGATCACAAACTGGGTATGACCTGGGGAATTCTCTCACCCAGGGGTGGTGGGGTGGGGAGACCCCTCTCTCTATCTCCTTTTAAGAGGTGACCTCCCACCCACACGATGGAAAAAGAGAAACTTATTTCATGGCGATTTGCATCTTAAAAAATAAAGGCAAATGAGCAAGTCCTTGGAGGCTGATGTTTTCATGGGGTTTGCTCAAGCATGCCGTCCCCTCCACCCCAGGCTGAGACGTGGCAACAGAAGATGGGTTTAGTGGGTGGGTGAGTATGACCAGAGGAGGAGGCTGTGACCTGAGCCAGTCTGGAGGAGGTGAGGAGGGTGCCCAGGGCACACACGCTGCTCCACCTCATCACCTGGTTCCCTCCTGGGGGACATTCTTTCTGTTTTTCCTCCTTTGGTTTGGGGAGGGAAGTGACTAGGCTAGAAAAATCAGAGCCCCTGACCTGAAAAGAACGTGATGTGGTAGGTCTTGGCATGGTTGCTTGGGGACATCTGATGGGTCATCAACCAGGCTGCGTGAGCAGATGTATCCACTTTGGAGGATGTGAGGAGGTTCCTCTGTTAAGAGGCCACAGAAGCCTTGAATAAGCAGCGGCTGGAGGCCACAGGGCCCTGGCTCAGTCCACTCTCACGTGGAGCTTGGCAGAGGGGTGGCCCTCTGTGCCCCATGACCTCTGCCCAGCACAGTGCCGAAGGGGTGCCAGGAACTAGGTGTGGTCACCTCGCCAGGAGATGGGACACCAGGCTCTGAGTGCTAGGATTTAGAGGGGTTTGAAAGTGTCTCAAAGTGTGCCAAAACTCAGCCTGTGGACATTGATGGATAACTGGCCTCCCTGACTGTCCCCTTCCTAATCTCCCAGGGGACCCAGAGAGTGCACACACCACTGCCCCAATAGAAATCTGTGGAAACAGAGGCAGATGTATTAGAAGCAGCCAGATCAGCCCAGCCCAGAGCACAGTGGACTTGCCTCAGCCTTTGCCTTCAGCTCACTGATGTTTCCTCTCAGGTCTCTGACTAGTTGCTCAAGGACTCTGGCCAGTAGCTTTGGGGATCTGGCCCAATCTGGCATCTCTCCAAAAAACAACCTTTTGCCATCACTGATTAACCTGCAACATTAGACTCTTCCCCCTAGAATACTTGGCACCTTGCACTCCTACCAGCTGGACACAAGGATTCCTTTATTTGCAGAAAGATGTCACAGGGATAGTGTCTAGCTTAGTACAGTAGCACCGATAAAGCTCTTGCAGAGATGACTACATGGTTGATAATATTATATTCTGGGCAGGCATGAGTCTAGGTTTCAGAGTCGGATGGGCCTGAATTGGAAATCCATTAGCAAATAGACAATGACATGAATGCCATGCCCTTTGTGGGCCTCAGTTTCCCCACCTGTAAAATGAAGGGATTGAACCAGCTGATCTTGGAGCTCCATCTCAAAATGCCAATGATTTAGCATCCTTCAGAGATGCCAAGCACCCAATCCTTTTAAACTTTTAATTATGAGGTATTTGAACCACAAACAGAGCTACAGAGACAAGTATGTTGAGACCCTGGGTACCCATCGTCCCATTTCAACAAGGATCCGCATCCACTCTTGCCTGGTCTCTGCCCCAGGCTCTCATAGCACAGAGTTAAGCATCTCACCAAAGAAGTCAGACTTACCCTCAGGGCTGGGCAGAGGCCTCTCCGGGGGCGCAGGGGTGGATTTCATGCTGTTTCCCATTTCTCTCTCTCCCCGGGCTGTTGGAGATGCTCGGAGCCTATGGTATAGGACATACACAGGGAGAGTCAACCGCGCCCCGAGCCCTCCGAGTGGAGAATGACCCAGTTTAGAGAGCATCATGCATCATTTCTCAGGCAGCCTGCTTCTTGAAAGGCGGCTGTTTTCATGTGAAGATGAGATTTGTGAAGGTTGGTTACATTTGCGCAGCTCGAGTTCTTTTATCAAGGGAATGACAGAGAAAAACCACAGAGAGGGAAGTTGCTAGCAAATGCTGTTGGTGGCAAAAGTTTCCATTCCTCCACGCCCTAGCTGAAGCTGGTGAGCAGCTCCAGCAGTGTTTGTCTGAGAAGTTGAGCAGCATTTCAGGTGGCCCAGAAAGAGTCTGCACTTAGGAAGCCTGGCCATTAATTCCAGGCACTTGGAATTCAGAAGACGTAAAACTCAGGAGTTGCATGGCTATTTAACGAAAAGGAGTAAGGAGAGGGAACTTTCTGCTTCTACTTTTTCTCCTCTATTTGAGTTTTTCAACATGCTTTCTTTAACAAAAGATTAGAAAGGAAAACTTCCTATCAATACTGTGTACTTGCAGAGTGCTTTGCATACTGCTAAAGCACTTTTACATCTATTGTTCCTTTTGATTATTGCAAAATCCCTATGTCATGTTTACACCCATTTTACCATGAAGGCAACTGAGTCTCAGAGAGGGGAAATGACTTTTCCACACTCACTTGACAAGTAATGGCGGAGCTGGGATTTGAACCACTGATGCTACATCTCCGATTTGCTCCGTAGTATTTCCAAGGTGACCACCCAGGCTTCGATTCTGGCTGTATACTTACAAAGTGGATGACCTTGGGCAAGTCATCAAGCTTATGCTGCCTGTTCTGGGGGGACAATAATAGAATAGCGTTGGGTTGTGGCTGCAAAGTTAACTGAGATAAAGCTGGGGAACCACTTAGAACATGGCCTGCCATAAAACACATGTTAATTATTGCCACTTACAGTCTACTTTCTGATTGTCCTTAGCAATAACTGTTCAAATTCTGGGCTCTCATAGAAATATTTTGGAAAGGGACATAGATGATCCAAAAATAGTGTCTCTGGATGGTTGAGACACAGAGGAGAAGGTCACAACTATAGACAGAGCTGTGCCTGCTTTGTGGGGACGAAGAGAAGAGAAGGGACAGCGTCCCCTAGCCGGTGTCCAGCCCAGCCTCCACCTATCTGCGTCTGCAGTGTTAGATCAAAGCCTTACAAGTTTGGAAGGGCACAAAAGTCAGCCGGTCCAACTCCTACCCTGGCCTCCAATCCTTCCCTGTGCTGTACACGTACAGGATCCGGGAAGAACTACGCTCTCAGAGCAAGGCCTTTCTGGGTTGAGGGAGGTCTGCAGGGGATTTCTAGTATATTAAGAGACAAGAAAAATCAAAATGAGTGTCTCTTAAAAGTTCATATGTTCTTAACATTCTCATGAATGACTTGTCACTTATAGTGCAAACTAATCTGTAGTAATAGTCCCAAGAAAATTATGAGGCTTGCAAAACTGTAAACTTATGATGTGCTACAGAAGCTGCGGCAGTACCAGGCCACACTTCTGAAGCGAAGTGTGAATCCGTCCTTTGAACCTTGTTGGTTTTCATGCTGGGAAAGGGCAGGGGGGCTTGCAAATTCGAGGCTCAGGACCTTCTTTCTCCTCTCTCTTGCCTACCCTCCTCGCACACACAGCCGGGGACGACGCTGGTGGGACCCCTCTGGCAGCCGGGCAGGTTCTGATAGCATCGCCCTGACTCCAGGAGGGCAGGGATGAGGTGGGCTTGTCTCCAGCCCCCAGCCTGGTGAAGGCACTCAAGAAAATGTGCCCCCCAGCCCCTGCCGCCAAATCTTACGGAAATGACAGGCGGAAGGCCTGGAACCTGCATTCCCTGCAGTTCGGCAGACACTTTCCAAGCATCCACGTGGTGCTGGACTGGGCCGGCGCCTTGAGAAAGGCAGGACCATGGGATCCCACAGACCTAGCGGGACCTGCACTGCCTCTGAGGCCCACCTTAGATGTTTCTAGGGAAGAAGCAAACCAAGTAGCCTTCCCAACTCTGAGGAGCATTTAGCCATATAGGCTACCCCACGCAGGCTGCAGGTAGCATGTGTGTGACATGCACAGGCTGTCTCTTGAGGGCCTCAGGAGCCACATGTGTGACACAGGCCTTGGGAAGCAAACATGTGTTGTGCACCGCCTGTCCCTCCCAGCCTGCCTCTGTCCTGCTCCTATTGCTTCCAGGAACCACCAGCTGCCCCCGTCCCCCAGCCTCCCTGCCTGGCGTCTCCAAGGCCTTTGGGCTTCTGGAGAAAGCTCTCAGCATGCAGAGCGAACTCTGAAATAACGTCACCTCCTTGCTGTCTCCAGTGTCCCCAGGACACAGTGCATTGGCTCAACAATGCCTTTTTGTCCTTTCAGCCTGACACTTGGCGTCAGATGTCATTAAACACCTAGTGATTGTGCCCGAGTCCCCTCTGGATGCCCTGGGTCCCCTCCAGCCCTGCTGGCCTCCCCTCCCACCCCATCCTTCTCACCCCCAAGCCGTTTTCAATCAGGAAACTTCTGCCAAAATATCTGGTCTCTCCCTCCTTTCCATCACAACTATTCCAGAAAACAGCCAGGAAAAGACCTTGCTCTCCATGAAAGTGAATTGTAACATCACCCCCCTTCCCAACAACTCTATGATTCTTTTCAAGCATTAGTGTGCTGTTTGGGGGGGATTCCTGGAATCTAGTATAGGGAAAGAAAGAAAAAGACTTGAAACTTGCATTTGTCACATGGGAAAACTGAATTCCATCCAAGAAAAGAAACATACCCAGGGTCACAAGGTGAGAAAGGTCCGGTTAACCTGGAAGCCTGGGTTCTTCTGCTGTAACACAATCCTCCCTCTCTCTTATTTCTTGTACTCTGGCCTCTTCCGCCTCACTGGTTGGAGTTCACACCATGTGACAAAAGGGCTGAATCTGGCTATAAGCCCACCAAAAGCCCACCAGGTCTGAGCAGCCCCTTGGCGGTCTGCTCCCTGGCCCCCTGCATTCTCCAGGAAGGAGTTAACTTGTCTGAAAGAAGCTTTTATTTGAGAAGAGTGAAAACGCCCCTGGAGAGTGAGAGCTGGAGTCTCCCTAATGAAATGGCTGAATGATTTGATTTAATCTGTGACAGTTTTATGCAGTGGCTGGAGGTAGGAGAGGGTACAAGAGACATAATTGCTTCTAGGAACAATAAGAAAAGGGCAAAAGAGAAATGAGTTAATTAACATTGGCTCTGAAAATCCTTGATTTCTTTCTCCCTTTTCTTGGTGGTATAACTCTTAGGTTTCTAGGTCAAAGGATCGTGACTGGCATCCACCTTATTTTCTCTCCAGTCTTTGGACCAATGCTGTTTTCTTTGTATGACCTTGGACCTCATTCAGTTTTCTCTTCTGAAAAATGAGATAGTGGAAAAGATGATCTCCAAAGAAAGAGCCTTTTAACCCCGTTTAATTTTAGCAATCAAGACTCAATGGCTTTTTGAAAATTATTAAGAAGAGAAGAGAACCATCAGTACCTATCTATGAAGTCCCATTAGACAGAATCCAAACCTTGTATCTTTTTGGGGATCGAGGGAAGACAGTTAATGTGTACAATGCCCTTCTTCTGGTAGGCAGTTTGTAGACCACACTGTGTTTAATCTTGCCAGCTTTCCTGAGGACACATATTCGTCTTTTACCTTCTTAATGTGAAGGCCAGGGGTTCTCTCACCTGCCCACTTCCCAGAGCTGGAAACTCTGTATGTCCAGACTTCAGAGCCCACACCCTTTGCCAGAGACCATGCTGCTGTCTCACCAGTGGGAGGAACTCTAGTTGGTGTGTGACTGGCCACCATCTGAGGAGGCATGGTGTGGAGGGGTCACAGGCCTGTGGGGAGTTGCCATTAGCAACATGGGATGTGCCTGCCGGCAGCCCTGCTCTAACCAGGTTTCTGTTTGAGCACATCCAGCATCCTTTCGTTGTGTGCTCTGTGTTATAAATACGGGGGAACAGGCTTCTCAGACCTTCCATTTCTGGGACAGCATCCCAGGACAGGTCTGTGCACCTTTTCTACCCCGTGCTTCCAATGGCAAGGCCTTGCTGTTGGGAAGGAAGGTAGCCTGAACCCCTTCGTAGTAACCAAAGGGGAGAGAACCTTAGGAACCCCAACCAAAGAAAGGAAGGTCTTGACTCTGTAGTAAAACCAGGATCCAAACCCTTGGCAATGGTTGGAATTAATACGAAACTCTACTTAGGGTGCAACCTTCCCTTTGGCCTTAGAAATTTCTGCTACAAAGTGTGACAATGGCACATCCATTCATATGACCTTTGTCTAAGGCACGGGAGCATGATGCCGTGAGTGGAGGCTTCTCCAAGCCTTAATGTCCACCATGTATGTTAACTCCAACAGCAACAGTGATACCCAGAATACCACCACCGCAGCTGGTCCAGCTCACACCCTGCCAGGCACGAGGCTACACATTGCACAGCCAGCACATTCTAGGTTGCTCACAACAACCACACTTTATAGATGAGATAAATTAAGTAACTTGTCGCAGGTTATACGACTAGAAGAGGTAAAGCTGGGGTTCCAACCAGGTCTGCCTGAGCCCCAGACCTGTGCTCTTAACCGCCACAAAGGGCTACCCTGTTTTCCTGCCCTCTGGTTAAACCTAAGAAGGCAACAGAAAAGTGATTTTTAAAAGTCATCAAAGCAAATCTCAGGAACAATAAACTTTTCAGGGAACTTTTAAGACAAGGAACATGGATGCCCCAAAGGGTCTCTTGGACGTCACTTGGCAATGCTTGGAAGCCCAGGCTTGGGGATCCAGCCAGTGCGGGGAGGGAACCGCAGGGACAAGAGAGAGAGGCCAGTTGAGGCCTGCCGTGGTCAAAGGGGCAGGAAGGAATCGTATGTGATGTTTTCCAGCCTTTCATGATGGTGTTTAAAAAAAAAAAAACTGTTAATGCTGTGGGACTACAAAAAACAAACAA